AAGAAAATGCTGACCACTCCACAAGCAAAGAAGCAGGCGCACAGACATGAACCGCACAGAGATTCCAACTTGTGTCTTAGGTCTTGTGTTGTCTTGTTTTTCACCCACAGAAAATTGTGAACGGTGGGATTTATAAGTGTGGGAATCAGTAGTGTTATAGAATTTTTTGTTAGATGATAGCTTAATTCATCAGAGCAAGGCAGGTAGGAGAGCTGTACAGGTTTCCCTATAGCTGGCACCAGCCTCATCCTGCTCTGTCCTGGACATGCTGCCAGTTTATCCTCCTGGTGTACCTGCCTGCTCTGATTCCCCCTTCTCACAGGATTTCAAATGTGTGAACACAAGGTCAGGAAATGTGGAAAATATGCACTCTGGCAGAGCTTTTGCCAGCATTCAAGCCTTAAATATCGAAGGCTGTCTCAACTTGCAGTGTGCACCAAGACCGGTTCTTCTCTCCATGTGCCCCCAGCAGAGCAAACAGCAGGACACTCCTGGGATGGACGAGGCACATTTTGGCTCTCTGAACAGACTAATAAGAGCTAAGTTTAGGAAAGAAACATTGCTTATTCTGCAAGGGAGCAAAGTGGAGGTTTCCACCAGTCAAGCACACAGAAGGGTAAAAGGTCACAGCTTTCACACAGCAAAACATCCTCGGCCCACCTAATGCATGTTTATTTCTTTGATGTAACCTTGTACAATTCTTCAAACACAGCCCTTTTCTTTATTAAGCAACTTCTACTGTATGTCATCTGAGGGCACTGATTATGTTTACAAAAGGCGAGGGGAGTTCAGCCTGGGGACAGACAATTTTACCCGAAAGCATCGCAACCATGAGCGAGCCGTGCATGGGATGGGGTGTTACGTGCAGTCACCTCACCGTGACCTGCCCCCGTAAAGACAAAGGGAATCCCGGGAACTTGCCCGCCGGGAGGGCAGAGGGAACACAGGGAGCCCCCTCAAAGGCCCCAGGAACACCGGGACCCGCCACAAGGAACAGGAAGCATTAGCCACTTCCCCTCAGCAGCCCCCACACGCCTCGGCGGGCGCGGCATTGCGCATGCGCAGACAGCGGGATGCGACATCGCCTCCCTCTCGGAGGCGCCTCCATCGCCGCCGTAAGACAGTGGGGAGAGCCGATGCTGGTCTGCACCCCGGCGCCTTTCCAGGGCGGTGTCGCCTGCTCAGAACTCCTTCTCCGTGGATGGCCGAATCTGTAGCCTCGCGTCTGCGGCAGAGTCAGTACGCGGCCACTGCGCTGCGGGAAGAGGTGGAGGCGGCTCACGGCGTGCCCCCTCCTTTTCGGGAGGGATGGTTCGCCCCGCGGGAGGCACGCCGGGAGCGGCACGGCGTTCGCGGCTGCTGAGGGAGCTGCGGTGTGAGGCTGTGGTTGTTGGGGCTGCTTGTGTCCGAAATCGGGCACTTACCTCTAGTATGTCCTTTTAGACTCCTTGTACTGTTCGTGTGTCTCTGTCGCTCTTCAAAGTATGTCTTCTCCCTTTTTTTTTTCCCGAGATGAAAGCAATGGAAGTTGGTCAGTGGCCGGAGCGTGCACCACCATGACCAAAAGGTGTCCCAGGATCATGGTATTCTTGGCTTTTCCTATTAAGTGTTTGCTCTGTATATAATATTACTTAATTGCGAATTTTGAAATATTTTTCAGCTGATTAATTTCTCTTTTTCATAAACTGTGAATTTAATTTTAGGAGTAAAGAGTTCCCATATGTAAGTTTTGGCCTTTGTGTTGCCCATTCATTCCTCTCCAGGATGGATGTGGTGTCAAAAAAGGCAAACAGGAATTCTTGCTCAAACTGGTTTAGGGAGCTGGTTATGTACCTTCCTCCTTTCTGTTTTTGCAAGGACAAAAATCCCCAAACAACATGTAGGAATAGTATGGTTGAGTAGCCATGTAGTAGATTTTGTTCTGCAGTCTTTTAAAGTGGAGAATCTGACAGTTATTAAAAGAGGAAAAGCTAAAATTATAATAGCCACTTTTAGCATTGTTTAGCTCTTGTGTCTGTCATTACATCTGCAAGTAATTAGTACATAACTTTCCAGGCTTCTAGCAGTGGCTTCTAGTTTTTCTACTGTAAAAAGACATTTACCGCTTAATACTCATGCACAGAAAAGATTAAATCTTCTTAAAGAGGAAAAATTGTGTTTTGTTTCTGTACGTTTGTGGGTCTGTTATTCAGTATTGAATAATATGTTGTCTGTTCTTTTGCTGGGCTTTCCTTGATGCTGTTTTGAAAGCGTAAAGTGTTCTTGGATGCTGTCAAATTCCTGACAGAACGTTTAATGCTAGGAATGCTTCTTGCAGGTTCCTGGTGTGTTTTGCTGGAAGTTTGGGATCTCTCTGTGTGGTGAAGGCCTCTGAGCTTGAGAAAGGCATGTGGGAAGAAGCTGCCAAGTGCTGATTGCAGAGCTGTGAGTAGCAATAATTCCTTGTGCAACTCTGTCCTGTAACTTGCTGTTAAAATGAAGCAAGCTTTCTGCTGAGAAGGAGGCACAATGACTTTAGAGCAGAAATCAGAACTGAAACAGTGAGAGTGAGATCTGCCTGATGGCTATATTCTTATCAAAAAGAGCAAAGTGGAAGCTAGAGAATAAAAATTTTGGTGTGGGTGGCTTTGTTAAATCAGTATGTGGCTGCCAGTGTGTTCAAGACAAGGACTTGCTTTCTCATGTTTGCTTTTAGGGGTGTGATATTGTGGAGCATTTCAGAACATAAAGGTTGAAAATGTTAAAAAGACTGGCAAAATATGAAAGAAAGCTTTGAATATGCCAGATACTGCTTCACTGTAAAGCCTTGGAAAAGCCAACACTACTGAAAAGCTGAGTAGCGCAAGTCAGCCCAAATTTCATTAGTACAGACAAGGTATTAATAAAAATCACATGCACTATCAAGTCTTTTTTTTATGTAACCTACATACCCAAGGGTGTGACATGTAATCCAAGTCTCTGAAGCCAGGAACTTATAGGTCAATACTGGAAATCTGGTGTAAGAATGATCCTGTTCTACGTCACTGTAGATTTTGTTTGGGTTGGGTTTTTTTCAGGAGAAAATACAACTAATCTTCAGTGAAATGATGAAACTCCTCCAGGGTGGACATAATGCTCTTGAAAGTAATAACATCTGAAAGTTTCATCAACAAAATGTGAGAATCTGCTTGAGCAACACAGATGCAATGAATCCTTTACCCCTGCTGCTGGTAGGAAGTGAGCCTGTGAAATCCATCCACACCTGCTGCACTCCAGGCACTGTGGGTAAGGTGGGCACTCTGTATGTGAATCTCTCTCTGGGAAGAGAAAAGTTTGTGTAATCCATTAGTAGTAAAGTGTCCAGTAACAGGGCTGATGCTTGTTTTCCAACATAAAATTATTAAATCGTGTATTATTGGCTTACTGTTCCCAGAGTGTTTTCTAGTGCATAGTCATGTGCACGAGTTAGTACTGCAGAAATTTCTGTTGATTCCCGTTAGCCAGAAAGTGTTATTACTGCCACAAGCCTGTAGTTATCATCTGAATTCTTGCTTCGGTGGGCAAAAAACCTCTCTTACAGACAGGCTTCCTAAAAATTAGATTTGCAAATTTTACCTTTTTGCCCACGGGATGAGGGGAAGCTCATCTTTGTAATACTGTATTAGTGTTGGGGATTTAGAGGATGTTACTGGAAAGAGCTGTGTGCTACATGTGTCTCACATTGTGTGTTTATTTTTTCCTTAGGAAGAATTGCTAGAACCAGCCTGAGAGCAATGCCTGTCTATTGAAACACTCCTGCCTAAGAAACAAAAAAACTGTTTAAAAGATGGACTACTAAGCCTCCATGTAGTAATACAGTGTGCATTTAACTGCATTGTGTCAGTGTCTGGTAATGTTTATATAGACAAAAAAATAAAGATTATGTTTCTCTTCTCAGAATTTCTGTCTTTTCCAAGCTTTAGTGCTTCTGTTTCAGAGTTCAGACTTCTTTGCGTTATTGTTGGGATACCAACAACCTCTGTATGAAACAAAGCCTAGGAGTGAGTTGGGATGTGATGATTTAAACCATGGTCTCCTGCAGTATTTGGAGAGAGGGTTGGCTGAGATTTGTATTGTGAGCAAAAATAGAAATTAAAAAAGTAAAAATTCAGCAAACCTGGGTTTAAAAATAGCAGGAAAGGTGTTTATCCAGCATGGAGAATGACAAGCTTGGTTTATTATCACCTTGACCAGCTACATCATGTGGTACTTCAGCATAACTTGGAGTGAAGTACTCTTGAGATAATTGGGATTGCTGCTTATTTTTCTACGAAGACTTAACATGGTTTATCAGAAGAACAAATGCTTAAATTGTGTATCTTGCACTGTGATTTTTCAGTACTGAATGTAAGCATATTACTAATTCTAAGTGCAAGGTTGTTTTTGGTTTGTTAGAGAGAAGGAGGTTTAGACAAGAGTAATTAATTTTTAAGAGATCCAGCTTGTAATTATGGGATGTACTTGAAAGTTTAGGGTTTTTATTAGGGATTACATTCCCTGAAGATACCATCTGTTCAGGAGTTCTGCTCACAGGCCTTTGTTCTTGAAGTATAAGACCAAGAGGAGTAGCATTTTAAAACTTTAAAAAAAAAACAAATCTCATGAGCAACAGCTAGTGACAGGATTTGATGATTGGTACATAACCCCAGGGTTAGATACTTGATTGGTATCAACCTCAGGGTAGGCTTCCTTTCAACTAAAAAAGATGTAGAACCCCAAGCTTTAATATGTAATACAGGGGTTATAGTGGGGTAGAACAAGGTAAAAGTGAGCTACATGAAGTTATAGGTGCTTGCAGGAGTCACAGATTACTTAAATAATAATGCTGGTAAATGTGAAGTACGATGTTAAACATTAGAACTGCCTTTTACTTTGTATGACTGGCTAACTGAATTGCACCCTTAAAAAAAAATCAGAGTATAAGAATCTGTTCAGCAATATAAACTGAAGAGAAAGGTTAAGGTATTCATATTCTGGAACAACCTACTACATGCGCTGAAGCCCTACTTTGCAGGAACTGGGTGGACACCATGTGCTCCTGGGAAGTAGAAAAAGTAAATCTTTTGGAGTTTGGCTATTTTTTGCTTTTGCTTCTGCTTTACTAAACTCCTTTATCTTGACCCACAAGGATTTTTTCCATCTAATTCCTTTGCCCATCCTGTTAAGGAGGGGAGTGATAGAGCAGCTTGGGCACCTGGTGTCCTGCCAAGGTCAACACACCACAGTTCTTACTCAGGAGAACAAATACAGGAATAAAAACAGACACATTGAGGAGAGAGTGTCTGCCACACTGGCTCTGTATCTGTGTTTGCTTTGACAGCTTACATAGTCTGCTGGTTGCTCTCTGGTGATTCTTAGGTGAGAAAGGAAACTGGTATAGATGTGCACTGGAAATGCAAAGCTTACACTGACAACTTCCTGCTACAAGATAAAGTACTTAATCTGGAGAAGCTGTATCCTCAAGTGGATTTTAATTGGTACTACACCTGTTTTTACCAGATGGTGGTGTCAAATGAATCTGTTTCTGAAGGCTTTGCTCCTTATAAGGTGTAATGTAAATAAGACACACAGGCAACCATGCAATGCCCTAAAAATTCAAGTTTTACTTGACTTTTAAATAACCTGGACACAAGTATTGACACAGCCATCTATCAAACTCATTTTAAAATAAAGCACACAGTTGCTTCATGAATACTTAATGTACATGGAACAAATGTATCACATTGGTATGTTCATGTATGTTGTCTTCAAACACCTTTCTAGGGAGTTCTGAATTAAACAAATCTTCCCAAAAGAAAACATGCTATCTCTTTAGTTCAATATCCACCTGCATAAAGGGAATGACTTTGGCAACTCAAATAGGAATGACTTTGCAACAAACATCATCAATATAATGAGCTTAGTTAGAATACAAGTTGCAGAGTTAGTGATACTGGAAGGGGTGCAATGTAGAAAACAGCAGGTCCAGGCTAGTTCCAAATGAAAGAAACCAGCCAACTAAGCAAGGGAACCAGTATAGGATATACTACAGTGCTTTTGTGCTGTGGTTAGCAAGCCTTCTTTATTGTATAAAATGCATGTTTTGCAAAAGGTTGTACAAATATGTTGTAATTGTTGCTAATTAGTGAGAGTTCTGTAACTTACCAATGCTTAGCACTTATGGAAGTCTCAGAAGAGGTAATGGCAGAGGCACGAAGTTAAAACCATTAGCCTGAGATCAATTCAGGAGAATTAAGATGAGAAGGCCTCAAATACCAGTCCTTTGTCCAAGTGAGCAGGGGTCTGTGTATGGCATTCAACCCCAGGGTAAACTTCCTGACACTGTTACACATCTCATGTCTTTTGCCTGATTCTTCAGGATGTACAAGGATTTTAGACTGACATCCAGACTCCAGATCTGAAATGCAACTGCCTCTAGGCACTGAACATCCCAGGAGAGCTGGGGAAGGGTAGCGACAGTGGAGAGGGCAAGGTGTAGCTCGGAGCTCTAAGAGGCTGATCACTTAGACATGTAGAGCTGGTTTAGTTGTAGAAGGCATAACTGTGACACAGTGTTTTCAGTGATTGATCACTTGTGTGTATCTCTCACAAAAATATAAAAAAAAAAGATGCTTTTCCTCAAATGATTGAGGAAAAGAAGTTTGAAGGGAAAGGAGGATCACATATACGAAAAAAACTTGCTTTTCTGTACTATTACCTGACAGTGATACCCTTGTTGCAAGTTTTGCCTTGTTTTGGCACAACAAAACATTTGGAAAATGTGTAATAGAGGCATTATATCTTTAGTCTTTTGTGGACACAAAACTGGATTGTAGTGGCCCAGGCTAACAGCAGACTGGCTAAAAACCTGCTTTCTACATAGTCTCATAAGGGAGAAGATCACTAACTCAAATCTAGGGCTCTCTCTGCAAACTTCTCTTCTAAATGCAAAAAAGTTGGCTTGATTACAAAACAACTCTCCAGTGACTTGAGAATTTAAACCTTTCACTACTGGACTAGACAAGCTATTTTCTGATGTAGTGCAGAAAGTAAAATACCATGCACTTGGCTGAGGGTATCCAGCAATAACACACAAAAGGCCCACAGGAAGATGAAAGCATACAGAAAAGCATGAGTTTTGATATAAACCTTCTTGATCAATATTTAAAGATTGGCAAGATAGGTACACTATGTACAGATAATTCTCAATAACACAAATCCCCCTGCAGTAGTAGATATGTGATACTTACCTGTGCTGGGTAAGGATAGCAAATTAATAGTAATGATTAGAAAGCACCAAACTATAAGTGTGTAATGCTCCAAGCTGGAATATGTTCTCAAAGGAACAAGGAGCAGCTTTCGTTGCTGATACTAATCAGTTCTTTGTCATTTTTCAGTTGCCTTCCAAAAAGATTGTGATGCTCTTCATTTTGCCATGGTGATTTTTTTTTTTTTCCTAGGGGTTGATCAGGGTTTTTTGTTGTGGTTTGGGTTTGGATTTTGTTTTTCATTTTGGTTTGGTTTGTTTTTTTGTTTTGTTTGGACTTTTCTTGACTGTTGTTCTTGACAGTACTCCAGAAGGTCATAAACGGACCCTACAGGATCTCTTTAAATTGGAGCAATGACAATGAAACCATTTAACAAACTTTAAAAGCTGAACAAATACTTTAAACCAAGGCCAACAATGTCCTAGAATTAAATCCACAGGAAATTAAAAAAATTCTAAAGAACCTGCATGAAAACTGAATTTTTACTACATTAATTTTTTTTATCTTGCTCTTTCCTTCCCTTAGATTTGTTTACTGAGACTGTAGAAGCAGAGCTGTCCCAAGTAAATGACCAAAGAAGAGTATTTGTTACATGACTCTGCCTTCCCTGCAGCACTTGCTAACCTAGAGACCACTGTATACTGTGATAGGAATATACAAACTGTATGGCGGCCACCCTGGCTGGTAACATCCACCTGACCACATCGTGAAACAATGAAGAATCAAAAAATAAAGTGGAAAATAAAACACATTGTACAACATTTTGCTTACCAGTCTAGTCAGTTAATATGTGTATTAGTAATCCCATGCCTCTTGTAAAAGTGTAACTTAAACACCTTATGATAACTCCAGTTCTCAAGCGGTGTTGCTTTTCTGACAGGGCTGCAATTCCCTGGTGTTGCTTGGACTGGAAGACACAGGATCACTGCGAATCTCTGTGAGGGTTGAGTGTAGAGAGGACAGATGTAGAAAGGCACATGAGCTGCTACAGCTGTTTGCGAGATTGTTTGACAAATTCAGTACTTAGTTCAATGATTACACTTAGCAAAAAATTACTTCCACAACACAAAGACTTTGCTAAGCTCTATAGCAAGACAGCAACATCTGAAGGTTCATCCATGTGCTGACTGTGGACAAATGGGAGGCAGAGAAGTGATTTTCAGATATATGTAAGAAGTGATAGGACAAGAGGAGAACCAGGCATCACTTCAGATATATATTAGAAGATAACCACTCAATGTGCAGCATCATTAAAACTTAGTATTCCTACCATGACAATAGAAAAAAAATTATAGTTCTCATACCTGAAATACTGCCTTTGTCATTTTAACATAGTAGAAATGGCTCAGAGAAAAGTGTCAGATTATTTTATATGAGATATTAAAACAGATTTTGCTAACCTAGATTTAAAAAAAAAAAAAAGGCGCTATTTTCTAGCTGTTTTAAATACTACTCCACAAGTTTCATTTAACCAGCACTGAAGTGCCTTGTTAAGCAGTCTTAACACAGTGGGTCAATTTATCTTCCCCTGTTTCCAATGTGCTTAACTACAAGTTGGTAAATGTATTTCTGTGGTATGGAATGTTCATTTATATAGTCCCTATACACAAAAGGACATTCAAAATTTAGAACACTTAAACCTGCCCAAAGCAAAGTAAGTCTGTATCATCTCTGGAATGCACTGCTACAGCATGTTACAGAGTCTACTGTTTTTGAGCTAAAATGGGTTGAGTCAGAATTTGTATCAACAACACAAGCGTCTGTTATTGTGCTAGGTTAAAAATAACTCTTGCAAGAGCTATTATTTGTCCTTATGTCTCAGAACATAAGTTGATCCCCATATAAATTGTGAAGATAATTTCCCCATATCACACTGTATTGCACAATTGACCAAAAATATTACTATTTTACTTATCTTGAAGCATCTGATCCTGATCATGTCAGTTAACAGTCACTTCTTGAAACAAGGCTATTCAGTTACAGAGCAGACCATGAAGCCTGTTTTGTTGCAGCAATTTTTTTTCTTGTTGTTCATTTTTTTGGAAATGTAACTACTGATCTTTCAGTTTTGCAAAGAATTTTGGTTTTGGTTGTCTATCAGGCAGCTTGTTCTCAATCAGTCACACCACTAGAATGGTGTTGGTGATAAAACCATTGCTTGGTCTTCCCAGCAAGCCGGCTGCACTGCCAGGTGTCCTGAAGGAAAGACCACCACGTCGACTTCAGTTCCTTCTGTTGCACACATAAACAAATTCTCACTTTCCAAAGACCAAAATCCATTCACCATCTTCAATTCATCAGTCAAGTCTCCACCTTGAAGCGTGACACCTGTACAGTTTTTACAATCTTAGTGTTGGGTTTTCCATCAACATTATTAGTGGATAGCAGAGATGGTTCTTCTGTCAGGCTGTCCTTAGATCCATTCTGCCTCTGAAGAGCATAAATTAAACATGTTGTTGAAAACATACAGCAGAATTTAAGCACTGTATTTTGCTAACTTGCTATGAAAGCCTTAGGCTATGGTATGGCGATTCGTGTATACGTATATATACATGCATCAGGAATATTAAAGTCTCTACATTTATTTGATCAAACAGAACTTTTTTCCCTTCTTGCCTCCTGCTAGCTGCTGCCCCTTTGTGCTATTGCCTATTCAGGGAATGCCATGTTGATATTTAGCAAAACACTGCAAGTAAACACACACAAAGAATTAGCGTCCACTGTCGTGAGGGAGCCTGGGGCAGAGGGAAAAGAGAGGTGTTTGTACGCACCGAACATTTTAACATTACTGGTAGTAAGTTAGGTGTCTGGAATTCTCCCTTCTCCCTTCCATGTTTTGGTTCTCCTTTTGTGTGTTTGCACAAAAGACCTGTGAGCGCTTTTGAATAGAATTTGCTTCTCACATTCTGAGCTCAATAAAACCATCAAAACTGAGAGATATGGTAGTGTAATATATGATGAAAGACAGTGATTAAGTTAGATTAACAAAAGGCAACTACTGTCCTTTTTAGATGCCAATAGCCTAAAAAATTATCTGGGTTTGGGGGGGGGGGGGGGGGGGGAGATAAAAGAGAAAGGAAAATAAAAAAAGCACTGTTTCAAGCCCAAGCAACAAAACTCTTCTGACAACCTCTAAAAGAGATTAATAAATGATGTGATTACACCTGCATTACAACCACATCTGCATAATTCAAGAAGTGGTAAAAGTCAGTTTTCCTTCAGTGACAAGCAGAGATGCATCTTAGGAATGCATCAGATTGGGAAAGAGTTCTCCAACAGCTGGAGCAGGTGTTCACAGGGGCTTATGCTACAGAGCTACATGTATTTTGGAATACAAACAAAGTGTAAGTAAAATACAAAAATTTGATTAAAAAAAAAAATCTCATCTTTATTTTTCACTGTAAATCAAAGACTATCTTAAATAAAGCACTAGAGTTCCACTTCTCTCTCCAATCAAAAGGAAAATTGAAAAGGATGTACAATCACTAACCTGTTGAGTCATGTGGATGCTGGGAACTTTCCCATCTGAAGATCGTGTAACAGGCAGTGGAGGGACCAGATCAGTTTTGACACTGGAATTATGATATCACAAAATGGATGTTGCTTTAATGAAGTAAACTATAACTGTGCAGAGGAAGAACAATGAAACTGATACAGACTGCTCTATTGATCTGAAGGCCTTCTATCATCTGACTTAGGACATCTGAAAGCTGTCATGCTGATCCTCTGTAGGCACCTTCAGGGCATAGCCCATCCCATTCCTGTCTTTTCCTGGTCTTTGGAAGGAGCCCAAATTGATACAACATTATTGAATAACAGAATGGTTTGGTTTTGGAGGGACCATAAAGATCCTCCAGTTCCACCTCCTGCTATAGGCCTAGATACCTTCCACTATCCCAGGTTGCTCAGAGTTCCCTCCAGCCTGGTCTTGGGCACTTCTAGGGATGGGGCAGCCACAGGTGCTCTGGGCAACCCCTGCCAGGGCCCAGCCACCCTCATGGCAAAGACAAGTCTCGCATGAAATCATGGGTGTGCCACACCTCCTTCAGGGTGCTATCCAGCTAAAACTAGCCTTCCAGGTGGGGACTGCTTTTCATGTTTTTATGGCTTGCTGCAACCGAGAATGGGGCTGTTGCTTTTCCATTCATCAGTACTCTTCAGCCTTCTAGGGAAGACTGATCCACCAGTTGATGAAGGGGGTTGTACTAGAGTTCCCATGAAAAAAATTACAGGCCTAACACTGATAACATCTTAACTCTATCAAGGATGAAGTTACTTGGAAAGTAACCCACAGACTCTCATCCCCTAAGCAGCTTTATAACCTACCACTAAAGACCAATACAGGTTTACTTTAGCCTTTTCAGTTTTAATTCCTTTCAAATGGATCAAGAAAACCACTGTGGCTGAGAACAGACCATAAATGTTTTTAGAGTTGTTTCCTTCATGTTTAGCTCTGAAGACATACTATTCAGGGGGTCGCCTGAACCCTGTGCCACCAACAAGCCACATTTATGCAGCTTCTTACCACCATGACCTCTGTCAACTTTTGGGCTGCACTAGACTAGTTCAGTGCTAACAACCATGTTCACATACTTCACTTCAGACAGGACAGATCTCTCCCCATCGGAGCACTGGGACCGCCGGTACTGCCGGTAGCTGCGAGGGGAGTGCGAGTGCCGGATGCGGATGGGGTCGCCTTGAGTCCTGAGAGAGACACAGAATTCACACCAGGGCTTGGTAAACCAGATCTTTGGCACAGAACACAAATTCAGCTGCAGACTGTGTCTTCGCATTTCGTACTGAAGTATAACAGACAGCTTCTTCTTGCACTGGCTGAATTTAAAGGGCTGATGCTTCTTTTTAGAAGTCTGCACTTGGAATTCAATGCTTTAAGAGAGCAGAGGTCACAAACTGGCATGCTCATATTTGAGAATGGAACTTTAATGAAGAATGCATTAATTTATATGTCCTTAACATCAGCCTTTTCTGCCTAGTGGTGTTTGGAAGTACATTATAATGCAACCCAGGATCCCATTTGTGCTTGCACTGACACTTGGAATCCCAAATGGGCAATTATTGCAGCAAAATGGATGTTGGTTCTTAAGGAAATAGGTATGCCCTGGCAGCTGCCCATGACAACCCAGGGAAGGGGTTGCAGAGATTAAAGAGTGCCTTGGATGATTAGACTATTTAAAGCAAAGAAGAAGTTTATAAAAAAAAATATTTTCTTGTTTGCATTCACTTCTTTCTGGTACTGTAGTTTATAATGTAAGTTTAAAAGCTAGCATAGGGAGACATACAGAACATACAGACACGTTCATGAGTGTGTGGGATAGATTAGGAGAGATTAAGATGGGGTTTTTTTCTTATTTTGAAAAGTAAAAATATTTGATTTAAGATTATTAAGTATCCCCACCCAACCCATCCTAGGGGAATATTTGGAATAGATATGAGCTTATAGATTGTATGTAAACCCATTGCTATTTCAGTAGGACACATTTCACAGTAAAGTAAGAAAAGTGGGCTTTTATATTCACAAAAAATAAATTCTGACCAAACTCACTCTACTTTAGTGTATGGAATTTCTTTCAATTGCTCCTCAGATAGGCCAGATGGATCCACAAGCTCCTTCCTATAAAGGATTAGGAAAAGTAAAAAATGTAACATTAACTGTGAAGTGCAAAAATTTTTATTATACTTGGCTAAAAAGATTTACTAAAACAAGCTGTTGTCAGCCCTGAAGCTATCTTGACATCAAAATAGGACACTTACTTTGAAATAAGTATAACTTCACCTTGATTGCTTCAACTGCATGTCTCATCCTGTTCCACCTTCTTCTCACCTCCCTGCAAATCTGATCTTGTTGCTTCACAATATCATGAATATTATGTGTGCTGAACAGTAAACATGCTTTGGAATTGCTAAATATCTTCCTAAGGGGTAATGGGGTGTCACACTAAAGGTGTCAATATTGATATTTTGGAAGCCACACAGGAATAAATCCCTAAAATTATGTATTGTTCTGTAACAATTCATTTACATACGATGGTCATCTTTATTCAGTGCACTCAGTGACCTGCAGTATCTTCTACATCTTAATATATACATAATTTACTGAAACTAAATCAGTGTAGTGCCACAGTGGAGGGGATTTGAATAACTACATTAAAGGCAAACCATCCCTCAGATGCTTGCCATTAAAGGCAAGCATCTCTCAGACCCTACAAGGACCATACTTACTGAATATGTTTCCACAGTTCTTCTTTAGCTTGTACATCTGGGCTTCTCCTATAAATATCAACAAAGAAAACACAGACTCAGCTGTGAAAACCATTGTCTGACCATGTTGCTGTCCAAATAACTTTTAACAGCACAGACCCTGCACAGAAATCACGATAAATATAATCCACCAGTGACTTCAATTTTAAGGTTTGTTATCTCAGAAAATTCATTAAACTTCATCGCTGTATTTCAACTGAAAAGTCATTTCTTGAATGACAGGCCCTCAATTACAATTCCAGTTCCACCAGCCTTCAGCAAGAGTGTACATAAAATATAAACAACAGCAGAATTCCCCAAGCCAAATCACTGCCCAGTCGCTGCCAACATTTATCCCTCCAAGGACAACACGTTTTGGAATGACACTTCTGAAAAAGGCCCTCAGAAACGTCCTGTGGCCCACAGAGCCCTTGGGGGCAGAAGGAAGCACAGGCCACAGATCAGTAATCCCAGCCATTACCCATGGACACCACTGGGAAAAACTGGAATGAAACAACTCCACTGCAATCACAGGGCAGCCTCTCTCTTTCTGGTCATCTCCAAAAAAGGTTTCTGCTTAATTGATAAATTTTTGGTGTCCAATAAAAAAAAAAAAAAGGCAACAAACTAATCAAAATAGCAACTATGCCTACTTATGCACCTAAATATTTCAGCAAGTATTCAATTCACACACAAAGAATTTACTAAAAATGGTAATCTCCCTGTTGCAGACATAGAGATGGAGCAAAGCAAGCCTGAGGGGCAGATTTCGCATTTTCTACTAAATCACAGAATAGATGCTTCTAACTAGAACCCCTTTATTTTTACTTTTCTTTTGCTTCTCTATTGCAAGGTAAGTGCAAAACCACCACTGTTGTTTAAACTGCACTTGGAATTCACCCAAACCCATTCAGAGGAATAGATAAGTAAAGATTTTAGACAGTGGCAAGGACTTGTGTGGACGGATCTGGTAACTCTTCCTTGTCATTATATAAGCTCAGTGTCAACAGTTAGACTGTTCCACACTATCTAAGACGTGAGGGATGCAACTTTTAGACACATATAGCATACATAAACACGCCCAAAGTTTCTCAAATACTGTCTTACACCATCGGGTCATACAGCCTGATTTTTTTTCTCAAGCAAAAAGGCCTAACATATTCAAAGATGCTTTAGGAGGGATATTATCCAAATTTAAATGCAGATCAAGGAGGACAGCAGAGATCTTCATTTTTACCATGTTTGGCTTATCAGCTGAGGAATAATGTTCAGAGACATCTATATTGCAGTAAACACTATACAGCTGATGTAAAGGCGGAATATTTTGGAATGGTGGTGTTTTGGGATATTTTTTAGATTTTATAGGAGCAGAAGTACTAGGAGATACTACTTAACTGGTTTATAAACACCAGAGAAGGACCAAAGGATGAAAAACAACCTAGCATTTGTGTTTCCCTAGTAGGGCTAAAATTAATTAATCCATAACCACCTCAGGCTCCAAGACTTTCCAGGCAGGATGATTCCCGTCCTTGACAAACTGCTGTCCATTCCAGCTCCTCAGGTTTTCATGATGGCAACAGCTACAGCATGGGTGGTTTACAGTCCACTTGTTGTCTGTGTTCAGAGCTTTTTAAAGATTTTTGTGTTTCTGTTTATTATAATGCATTAAGTTTTCTCTGATTTTCACTTCTATCTGTGCCTTCTGCTCTCTGTGATCAGATTCAGGTATTTTGCTCTGTGATCTCTGAAATTTTCCCCTCTTCCATCCCTGCAATTACACTAATAATAAAGACTTTGCTGTACAATACAATTTAGCAGTATGGCATCCCATGGAAAATAAAAGGGCTAAGTACAATACTCCTAATACTCCTTCACTCTTCTTGCATTTACTTCACTTTATTGCATCTGTCCATGTTGTTTTTAACTCCCTGATGCAGTAAATTCAGTGGCATTTAATAGCCTTTTTCACCCCTCAGTTTTGAACTGATTTCTGCCCCCATGTAGCTTCCTGCTCACAAAATAGCAGCTGCAAACCCTGCAATCACCCTGGGGGTGGAAAGATAGGCATCCTCCTCTGAGGCTGAATAATCAGACAGCAGGGAATGTGAAAGCTCCCTGGAAAATGCCAGCTTCTCCAGGGAGGCTTTGTCATGCTTAGAAGCCCTAGTTTGCCCTAGGACGCAAAGCCCCAAGGTTGCTCCCTAACCCAGGACCCGCACAAAGCAGGGTATTGTGCACACCACTGACCCATTTGATTTGCTCATGGCTTTTACTTATTCATGGAAATACAGCAGTTCAGGACCTGGCCTTAAGACTCAAGTATCACAAAGCATCATGTGAAGCCTCACCAACAGTAAGAAATATTAATTGTGGGGCAGCCAGGAGAGAGAATGGTTAAATAAGAAGACGTCATCATTTCTCCACTTTCTAGGAACTGTGCTTCCTGCTTTCTGTGACCGGCTCCAGGTATTTTGCTCTGTGATCTCTGCCATTTTCCTTCTTTCCATCCCTGCAATTACACTAATAATAAACACTTTCCTGTAAAATACCAATTTAGCAGTATGGCATACCATGGGAAAAAAAAGAAAAATGGGCTAAATACAATGATTCCTCAGACCAAACTTCCCTTAGACTTCACATCCTGCAACTAGTTATTTTCCATCTGTTTAAGAAGTGTTACCATACTGGGATAACCTTACAGCATTTATTCAGGTTAGCTCCCCACCAAAGAATATAAAGAAATATGATGCAGATAAAGTAACTTAATTAAGGCATTTTCTTTCCATAGGCCTGTTCCCCCTTCCTTTGAAAGCAAAACGACAGAAAGCTTACAAAAAGAAAAGTGAAATGTAAGATGAAATGTAGGTATTGCATATACTGCATAGGACATCCGTGTTGGTATGGTTCTTAAGAGCCCACAACAATGCAATTCTTCTGTTAAATCTTTAAAGTCAGATCACAATTCCTCTTTTACTTTGTTTTCATCTTTTTACTGTGAATTTTTTTTAAACTCACTGGTTTGATATTTAGGACTCAGATTGTCCTGTCTCAGTATCTGAATCAATACCTTCTGGATAATTTGCATGCTAATCAGTTTCTCTAATGCACAAAAAACCTAATGGGACTTCCCGGTAAGTGATGAATCTCATGGGAGTTTTTTGTTTATTTTTTATTTCGTTTGCACAAGCTGGAACAGCTCTACACATTAATAAGGTCTACATTATTTTTTGTGCCTGCATCTGCACCCTTATTAATATTTCAGTTTGAGTCACAAATGGTAAATTTAAATAGCCATGGAATTTTATGGCCATTCTTCTTAATTAGAAAAAGCCCTTTGGCTACACAGATGTTTTACATGAACTCTTGAAAATAAACCCTGTGGAACTAGAATTGGGAGCTCTCTGCATTTGTTTATTCCTTGAGGAAAAAGAAAGGTCAAATTCCTGTCAAATACTTTTATTCCCAAGTCCAAGGAGACACCACCTTGCCACCATGAATGATTAATATTACTCATTATCAAGCAAATTAAATGCACTATGCCAGGCACAGTAACAAACATTTCAGACACTACTTCACATTTCCAAAGGGAAGCTCCATTTAAAAATGCAACAATGGACTTACTGTGAAAGAATTACCCGTTCTACTAAATTTAAGGGTTTGTATCAATTTTTGAATGGGCATGTCGAAATGACCATTTGACAACATTTAAAAACAAAACAACCATCACCTATGGAATTATGTTTCCTTTTCTTCTGAACTGTATCCAGTCAAGTAAACAAACAGCTGAGCCAAACGAAATGAAATACATTCTCTTATAATGTACTACATGTTAACAGTAAAATGGCTTTTACAAATTTATTTTCAAAAATTAGTTTGGGCTTATTTCATTGTGGGTTTGTTTGGTTTTGTGGGTTTTTTTTTAACCTGGAGAGTAGGATAAAAAGGAGAAACTCATGAATAACTAAAAAAATGAGATGCCTTCCAAAATCTTCAGGACTTCTTCATTTCTTTGCTTCCTCTTGGACCTTTTCTTTCTAAGTTAGATTAGCTAGCTTAACATCTATGTGGTTTTGCTATAAGTAGTTTAAATGAAATATAACTCAGAATGTCACTGTGCTTGAAAATCAAAGCCATTTCATAAGTTAAGTTAACCACAAGAGGGAACCCGTGCAGTCCAAACAATGAGATTTACCTGGCCTGTGGGTAAAAAAGAAAAGCTGGCTACAAATTTAATGTAACCATTATTAACTGAGTACATTTCCTAGTTTACGGCACCTTCTGCACATAATAAACCAAAATCATATTAAATGAACTGTATTCACTGGATTCCATACAAGTAAGCTTTAATAGTCCTAAAGTTTAGTAATATATCATTGTATAATTACACTTAATAACACAAGGCTTCTGCACAGCTGAAAGTGAACAAGTCTGTACAAAGTCTGTTAAAGAAGAAATTCCAATATTTGGATCTTTAAAGGTAAATTCTGTTCCTCATAAAGAAATAAAACTCTGCACTGTAAAACTGGAGACAGCAGAGTTCTAGCAACATGGACAACTGAAGACAGAACTCAAGTGGATTTTAATGCTGGAAACTTCAATGCTGACTGTGATTTCAGTGATACCAAACAGTGTGTCTATGCCCCAAAAGCAGGCCGTTTTAGAAGAAAAAGATAAATTAAAGGAAATCAACATTTTCATTAGCTTCAGAAAATTAATTTCAAAAGCTGATAACTTCACCATGTCAGAACAGGCTGCAAGCAGGAACAGCAGTGCCTGGCAGTACGGCTCCATCATGGAAATCCTGACATTGGGATGCAATATATCACTGACTGCTGCTTGTCAGGGATAATTTGACATGGAAACATGAGCAGCTGCTTTCATCTGGAACACCACTGCAGATATTATATGATTAAACAGGTGTGCATGTATTCCATTAAAACGTTTGCAGCTATCAAGTAAAATCTCAATGCCTCCACAGACGTGCTTCCCAGTAAAGAGGAATCACTGTACTCATTACAGAACTGATGTTCAATGAGCCACAGAACCATCCTGGACTTCTTCCCAGGTGATGGACAGAGTTTCTCAGAAGCTTTGTTACAAAGCCCTGTCTTCATTATTTGTGCCCTAAAATTCAAATCACGAAAAAAAGGCAATTTGACCACAAAGACAAATCTGCTAATGTGGGAGTATGCCAGATGAAAATCTCTGCTCCTCAGCAGCAGAGGGCCACCGCCACACTGGAGATATTCCTCCTGCTCTTTAACACGATTCAACAGCCTTAATTTACACATCAAAGGGTTCAAGGGTTACGTACGATCGAGATCTGTGCCTGGATCGCCGGTAGTTTGGATCTGCCTGGGTTTTCCCCTTCTGCCGCCGCAGCACAGCTTCCCACTGAGGAGCCGAGTCAACCATATCATTCTCCTGCCGCAATCTGCAAAAGAGGTACCAAGAGTTTAGTCTGAGGGCTCTCAGGGCAGGATGCTCTGAGAAGCAATGGGGTATTTCCACCCCCACCGCCCAGAAAATCTGCTCCTGCAATGCTGTATTTAACCTTTAATCTCGCTAAATTTTAACTAATACTCCCAGACTGCATTAGTATAAGAACTATATAAAAAAAGCCCTGCTGATTTGTTATTTAGAAACAGCATGAGCCAAAAATGTAACAATCAATGCCTTTAAGGACAGACCCACAACTTGCATCCTTCTTCCCAATCCAGGCGAACATCTGGAATTTTTTCCCTGTTTACATATTCCCCTCTACCTCATCTGCACCAAATGGGAGACACACATCATGCTACAAGGTTCTTCTACTACAACTTTCAGAAGCAACTTCCTAGGACCCAGGGAAAAATCCTCTCCGTAAGTCCCCACTCAGAAGAATCATCCTTTCATCCTAACCTGCAACAAAGCTCAGGATGCATGCAGATCTTCATGGCACTCCTGCACCTTCCCCTGAGGGTTTGGTCCCTGTCATGGCTTGTGTGGATCTAAACAACATGCTCTGCCTTTTACTCCTTCTTTTTTTAAGTTTTTTTTTTTTTTTTTTAAATCCATTAATTCATTGGTGGAATGCATTACAGATTGAGCCAAATATCAAAATCCTGTCAACTCAGCACGTTTGTTAGCAGGTTGCAGTGATTCCACAATGCCACAGCCCTCCAGGCAGATGCTTCCCACAGTTTTGAGGTTGCACATATGACTGCTGGGATGAAGTGCTAAGGTAGTGGAGCAAATGGATATGTTGGTCACAGCAGTGAATTTAAAATTCAGCAGGGATTTCAAAACATCCCTGGAAAATATCTCCCAAGTGTAGATTGCCTGATCGGATGGTAGGGCTGGGATACTGGAGAAACCGGGGGGAAGACTGACAGGTACAACAAACAAAGAAGCCAACAGAGATAAAGGGATTACACTGGAGATGTAGGCAATGCAAAGTGTGTTGTTGTTGCTCTTCACTTAAGATGTACTTTTCTCTTTGAGTTTTGAATTGTATCAGGCTAAACCAGCTACACAGGCTTCTGCTTTTCCTTTAATCAGATCTTCTCTCACATGCATAATGAATTTTGAGCTCAATCCCCAACTACTGTAAACAGACACAACTCCACCAAATCGTATGAAGCATCTGGAGAAGACTGCAACCTCAGGTTTTGATTTCTAAGCAAATCTTTTTAAATCTGTAATCTGCTGACAGGTATTAACATAAACTTCTATCTAAGGATTTAGTAGAAAGACTCACACAGCAACAAGTAATGAGTTGTGATTTTCATCCCAAATAATCCAATTTGTGCAAACAGCAATCATCCCATATGGTATAGACACCACCAACTGCCTCCCACACACGGCAGCCACTTGCACAAAAATACTGAAAATCTAAATATATCAAGTTAGCATTGCAGCTATTAAAACAAGTGGTGTTAGCAAACTCAAAGTACTGTTGCACCACAGCAGAACTCTGCTAGATGGAGACATGAAGAACATGCATTTTGCAGTTGCAAAGAAACTGAGAAACACACATTTAACAAGGTAAAAGATGACCAAGGTATCATGATTTCTATATTAGATACATTATTTGAAGGCAATGTTCAAATTCTAATCATTTTGGGGCAATTTTTTTAGGGTTTTGGTGACAGAAATGACCAAAAAAAATGCTGAAAGAAACTTAGCTCAAATCTTAATTTTCTGTTTAAAGATATTTTTGAATAAAAACTGTTGCCCTTGCCCCAAAAGCCCATTACAGTTTTCCTTTCAAATTTTTCACTGGCACAGGCTGCCCAGAGAGGTGGTGGCATCTCTATCCTTGGAGATACTGAAAAGCTGTGTGGGAATGGTTCTGGACTACCAGCTCTTGGTGGCCCTGCTGGAGCAGTGGTTGGACAGCCAGAGGTCCCTGCCAGCCTCAACCATTCAGTCACTCTCTAAACCTATCAGATGCATCTTCGAAGTGTAGCCAGGAAGGAAAGTATGCTTCAGTATGCACTGCCTGCTCCTTTAATCTATTTTTATCTACACAATAAATTTTGACCACAGCATTGAAAATGCAATGCATTTCTTCTGTGATTGAAATATGCTCATCACAGGTTCTTCTTCACTTTCATATGAACATCTGCTTAGGAGAAAACATTTCTATAATGGAGTGAAACCTCAAAGATTGAGATCAGGTAAAAAGATCTTCCCCAAGATTTTTCTAGTTTTCTACCTTCAGAAGCTCTCATCTATGTTTCTGGTTTTCTCTGATAATTTGTTTTCTTCTGGCAAATAGTTCACAGTGATCTCTTGTCATGTGAACAATATATTCTACTCTAATGTGACCAGAAGCTGACTTCTTTGGTTAATGTGAATATTCAGTATTTTTTTTCAATAAAATAAACCACTTTTGTTTCTGGTTGTGTCAGGGACCTGATTACTGTACTGGGAAATAAATTGAATTAGTCTATGCAACAGCAGAAATTTGGGTAACAGCAGTTGCAAGCCTCATTATAATGCCCTATTTAACCCTGCTAGTGCTGGCTCGTCTCTGAAAACAGGAAAGCTGCTCAGAGCCTCTGACCTTCCAGCTTGTTATGTTACTGCTATGGCTGCTAACAAAATGCAGAAATTCATTATGACTGGTTGTTTTCCTGCACCTGCTCACAAGGAACAAGTCTTAGACTTCTAGCTCATTTAGTACTTGTTTAATCTAACACTGATAATGATCTTTTTTCTGGTCAGATTTCAAGTGATCACCTAAGAACAACAGATGCTCAAACATTAACATTTTTGTTGCATCTTCCATTTCTGAAAACGTGAAAAACTTAAAAACAAGAAAAAAATGGATCTTTTTTTTCTTTTTATTTTAATTCTTTTTTTCCATTAAGTGAGGAAGTGTGGGTAAAAGCCCCTTCATTCTTCAAAAAATGATAAGTAGTACTTAATCCTTCTTACAGTTCAGTCTTTATATTGCCAGGAGTTCTTAAAAACATTCTTGTGGTCAGTCTCTAATTTCTTTCACTTGCTTGTGGATCTCCCTGCAGAAGGAGTTTCACAAGAGGAAAAAAATCTGGCAAGAGTGTTCTGAGAGAAAGGGATACAAAATACCATGTACTGCTGATCACTGAAACTACACTCAGCATGTCATTTAAACTTCAGCTAGAAAATAAACCTTCCAGGCACACTAGGTTATTGTTAGCCAAGTACCCTACAAGACTGTGCTCTGATTTAGGTAAGCTTCAAAGAAATCTCATGTCTCAGATGTGCTTTATGCCATCCCATGTGAGTGTCACAATGGTTTTTAATATTTCTTTAACTACTGCAAGTCATGCTGAAAATGTAATTATACTGCATACTCCTGCTGCACTATCTAGCATGCAATTATTTCTCAGACCTTCCAGAGATCTGGAAATCATTTATCACTGAATATAAGACATGAAGAAATGATGGCAGCTCATGCAGACAGTAACTTAGAAACTTCGCCTTAAAACAGTTCCTCTTTTGTCTAGTTACACTTCTCTTGCATTGTGTTTATGCAATATGAGGAAATTCTATGTGCTTTTTAAAAGTGTATTTTCAGAAATACCTCCAGGATGTTGTGATCTCCAGTGCAACATAAAATACACAGCTTTGAAGGGAATTTATAGGAAATCAGTAGTTATGTCATCTTTTTCATACCAGCAACAAGAAAAATAGAATATATAATAGAGAACTTGTTAGCATCACTTGATATGAACTATTGCTGTCCTATTAAAACTTGATGCTGTACACATTTTAGGTTTGGGCCCATACCTGACATTTCAGAAAACAAAATCTTTATACAGTTAAATACATGAATTTAAAAACAACATTGAGATTCATAGCCACTAAAAATATTTTTAGCTCTCAACACCTTATTTTCTGCTTGAAAAAATCTGCACTTGAATTTGTGAGGTAAAAGTATATGCTGAGAATATCATTATCAAGATATTATCCATTTTATTTGCATTTATACCACAAGTCTTTTGTAAGTGTGCCCTGTACTTGATCTTGTGGTTCATTACTGAGCTCTTCCCAAGGAACAGGAGAGCAGGAATTCATTGCATAATGATGTATTCTGGCAATTATCACTCTTTTTATTCAGAAAAGGGTCTTCAGCTGCCTCAGGAGGACTCTATTCACATAAAATATGTTAAATCCATTTTTACTGTGTTTATCTGAGAAAAGTCCATCTCCATTTGTGTGTTTAATGTCTTCATAAAGACACGAAATTCTTCATGTATTCCTGTCTAAAATATTTAACATATTGTCACCTGTTTCTCTTCTTCCGATGCTCTCTGTTGGAATTTTCGGATTCACTGCCACTGCTGGTGTTACAACGGGACCGTGACCTGGAGAAGAGAAAAGCAACATCTCAGATGAATGTATCTACTAACACCAAAATTATTGCAGTGCTAAATGAAGAAAGAACAACACTGTAGAGACATTACTCAGAAAATCAGAGTTAAAAGACTCTGGAGTGCTTGGCTACACCTGAAAGTCATATTATCTTTTTCTTATTAATTGATTGGGAAGAATTGCTCCAAAAGTAGTGCATCCAGACTGTAGTATCAGGTAAGTGCTGTTTTCATTTCAATAATTTCACTGTTTCATTTATTTTTAAATTTTTTTATTATTTTATTGTTCAGCATTCTTTTTGTAAATGCCACATCAATTTGTTTCTTGAAGGTGTGAAATGTTTCATCTCTAATCTGTATGGCTTTTTTCTTCTTGCAGATTCTGGTACACCCAGCAGAAATTACTCAGAACTCTGTGTTTGCAGGCAAAACAAAATGGTCACAGGTCTATGTATTCTATTCCCTTCAACTGTGTAAGTTCTTAAGTCCTCAGTCTATGGAGTCTGTTCTCCTCTCTATGCTAAATTAGAAAATCATTAGTTCAAATGTCTCTCACTCAAACAGAAATGTGTTAGAAGAACAGGACAGCTAAAGTCTAGAAAATCAGTTCAACCCAGCTTGTCTGAAGGGAATGGCAGCATGGAAGAAACACCAGTAGCACTAGGATTCTGCTGCTCTTTATGGAAAAAAGAAGGCTGCACTCCCTACAGGCAAACTCCTCTCTCCTACCTGAGACCCTTAAATCTGTGACTGCATTTTGGAGAACACAGACCCGATTGCAGGGCTTTGGTCCTCGAATCCAGGACTCTGCCACTCTACCACTGGCTAAAGCTGGCACTCTCATCACAGTCTCGTTTGGACTATTTGCTCATTAGTGTGAGGATGGCTTGGGAATGGTTGGATTTGATGATCTGGAAAAGGTCCTTCCCACCCTGAACATTTCTGTGATTCCAAAGACTGACATGTTTCTCTGTTGTACTGACAGCCCAGCTGATTAATGAGGAAAGCTGGCTGATGTTAACAGGAGCTGGTCTACAAGGATTTAGGCTGTCTGAGTTGGAATCAGTGATGGTTTTGCTTCAATGGAAAACAGAATCTTTCTTCTGAGGTCTCTGCCCACAAAATAGGACCTATAAGGGTCCTGATGATGCTGGTAGAGATATATATTTTCTTATGCCTCCTGGGTTTTCTTTCACTCTTAGTTGACATTTCTAAGAGGGCAGATTTGTTGAACTACACCTCAAACAAGCCAAGGAGACAAAGCAGTTCCTTAGGTGTGAGTAACAGGTAAGGGGAAGCATTTAATGACAATATAGGAAGTTCCTGACTAGCACCTGCTCAGTGCATATTCTAATGGTTTAGGAAGAAGAGCCCAAACAGGATGAGAGAAGATTGTTCCCAGGGAACAGCATGGATGCAGCATGGAGCTGTTCTATCTAGCTGCTCAGGCACACATCATTCTGCTTTCTGGAGGACTAGGACTAAATGACCAGGACACTGTTACAGATGTCACTCAGACACACCTGAGAGCCTCATGAAATTCTCCATAATACCAGTGAATTATAGTTGCCTCCAACAAATTGCTGAGGCTTTAAATCCCTTGGTCCATGGAGTCTGTTCTCCCCTCTCTTCCAAATTAGGAAATCATTAACTCAAATAGCTCCCATTCAAATAGAAATGTCTTAGAATAATAGGACAGCTAAAGTCTAGGAAAATCAGTTCAACCCAGTTTGCCTGAAGGAAATAAATTTGGTAAAATTAAATTTCCCCCAGAGAAGGAGCTTCTCCCTGTTGGAAAAGATACCAAGTTTAATTTTTTTTCCAATTTTATAGCTTTAGTCAGGTTTGTTCACCTTTGCCCTGGGGGAAGGAATTGAAGTTTTTTTCAGGGCATTGTTCCACTAGGCAAGGCCTGATGAACTTAACATCTTAACAGACTGGGAGTAGCACAGAAGAAACACAAAAGATAATGACCATCAACAACCATTAATGACCATCAACTCTAAATATCAACCTTGGCATGGTCAGAGACACCAGGTCTGGGAAAGGAAAGATAGGAATGAGGACCAAATTAGCATTGGAGGAAAACAAATTCACATCCAAAAGAAAACCAAATACTGGGAACTACATAACTTGAAACCAATGAACATTTAACCAATGAATCTCTATGGGTTTTGACTGTATAAAGTTAGTGAAAAGTCTGGTAAAATACATGCATAATGGAATTATTTCCTCTGCACACTGAGGCTATGTGAGGATGAAATTCTTTCTGTTGTTCTGTGGACATCCTGGTCAGAACAACATCCTACCCAGAATAAAGTAATGCCTTGATTCTCTAATACTAAAAATTTTGTTGGAGGGTTTTTTGTTTTTCCCACAGTTTCAGTGACATCATTATCCCCAAACTTCATAATTTAAAGCCAGGTTAGCTGTGCTGCCAGCTAAAAATACATTCTTCAGGGTGAAGCTCAAAGTGGGAAAAAAAATTATGTGTGTTAATACAGAAAATTGTAATCCCAAAGAAAGAAGGAAGATTAAATGATTATGTCAAAAAGAGTCACTCATGCACAATGGAAGAGTGAAGAGCAATAAAAATGCTCTAGAATTGCAGGAGACTTAACACAGCCAAAAGGATACCTTTCCCCAGCCCAGTCTTATCAGATGTTTAATAAATATACCACTAACATCAACATCAATAAGTTGTCTGAGCAACATTTTTCTTTCACACTTCCAGGTCATTAACATGACTCTTCTACATTTTTCGGTATGACAAGAAGTTTCTTCATGTGATTTAAGTAATTTATATCATAAGGTACCAACACAGCCAAAAATCACAGTATGGCAGGCAAACGATAAGATAAAACATCCAAATTGATCAAACTCAAGATGAGTCTTTCTCTAACTTTTCAGGAATGAAAATCTGATTCACCTTTTGGATATTGCTCATTGAATTACCTTGTGTTTCTTGTCAGGAAAGCATTTGTGGGGAGACAGAAGGACTCCTGAGCTGTCAGCTGAGTGGCAGCTGCTCATGCTTGTTTGTCAGAATATTATCTTTCACTGAATATTGACTATCATCTTTTATTAAAACGAATAAAATACCAAAAATGGGTAAGAAAAATGTAGTTTCCTAAATCAGGTGCAAGAATACATGAGATCATCCCTATCTCTAACAATTTTAAGGTATCTTTTGTCCTTTATTCCCCTGTTTTCCTTGTCATGCAATATATTTGATATTTTGCAGATAGAATACATATATACTCTGGCATAAGGAGCCAGAAAGAAGTCATAGTCAATTTTACAAGAGACACAACAAATACTGCCTGGGAGGGGGCTTTGAGGGCTGAGGAAAGCTCACATTCTGGCACAGTCTTTTTCTGGGTAAAATGAGAGGAGAATAGCCAAATTGTGAGGAAGTGGAGAAGGTCTTTTGCAATGTACAATAACAAACATGTGGTAAGAGGTCCCTTGTGAGCCCTGAGGCTTTCCACCTGAGATGCTTAACTAAATCTTTCCAGTTTTATGCGCTGGACATCTATCACAACATTACCACTGGCAGCTTGTAATGTTAACATCCTTCCAAAAAACATTCTGCTATCTCATAGTAAGTACAAAGTGCATGAGCACTTTCTCTGGCTTCCTGTGATTGTCCTGAGATGTTTGTATCTCAGCCAGAGTTCCTTTCCCATGCTGCTGCAGTGATTCAGATGCTGGGAGTGCCTCCTCGCCTTCCCAAGCTCCAGGAGCCTCTGACATGAAAATGCACTCCACTGTCTCCTTATTCCAGCAGTGCAAGCAGGAGCACAGGAGCAAGGAGGAGCACTAAACAGAGTCATGACAAGCAGATGTGGCAAAAATCTGTCAAAAGGTGAGGTTGTTGAAGGTCACAACCAAATTCACACCTGCATTTTATTTGAAATGTAAAAACTAGTCAAGTCTGAAATGGAAGATGAGGGCAGGGAGAAGAAGCTTAAGAAAAAATCGACAAAAAATGTACAAGGCAGCAAGAGGACCATCAGGAGTTACATATGCTTTCACACTTACCTCTGGCAGGACAATTCATCTCAGATGATAGCACACTTGTTTGCAAAACAGATTAAGTAAAAGTGGGTAGGGAGGCTGGAGAAGTAAAAACAAATCTGCAGATACAGAATCCAAAAGCTAGAAGTTCTGGAACTGACTTTCAAGTTGCAGATAAGCCCTTAGGAAATTTTCACAAGCTGCTTCTGACATGGGGTAGTAACAATGTGCTGCAAGACTCTGCTGTGATGAGGCTACGCCACAGAGCATTTAAGCAAAAGATAAGAAATAAAAAATAAAGGTCATAACACAACAAACCTTTTAGACATTTAGGAAGATGAGGGAGAAGAAGGAAAGAAGAGAATGCAGTGAACAAAAATATGACCAGTACCTTCAGTATCATTTCATAGGTGCTATAGATCATATATTTACCTTCTCCTTTGCTTTAAATCTGAATCTTCACCACTGTTTTGATTTTTCCTGTGACATTAAGGAAGTTTTAATGAAGCGTCATAGAGTGACTTATTACAAATACACAGAACTACCCATAAAAATCCCAAAGGGTTTTAGTTTTTTGATGGATTTCTTTTTGCCAGTATGATGTCAGGCAGAGAAAACAGGGCATGTGCTTGTTTTAAACCCTTCAGGACACCTTTACAATAAGCTTTGAAGGCATGATTCCATTCAAGGTCTCATTGCAAACCCTTGACTTGCAAAATTAACCAGAGCATGCTGCTCTTTAGAGTTTCCTACTGTTTCCAACATAGCAGAGTGTGGTGGTTTCCTCTTAACTCCAGTAAAGGGTGCATAAACAGCACAGCTATTGTTATTAACAGTTGGAAAAGGAAAGTGCATGAATAAAACCAAGACTCAGGAAGGCATAATTAAGTTAAAATCTACCTACCATTGTCAGTCTTCACAGTCTCACATATGAGATAAGACTTTAAAAACATTTTGTTCATGTGGTAGCTCAAGAGAAAATTTGCTATTGGCATGACTGTGCACTGACTAGATCAGCCCAATGCAAATCCCAGGTGATAAAAAAATTTCCTGCTGCACAGTGCACAAACACTTTCCTTGATATGAGAGATCTTTGCATTGCACATCTCTACTCTTTTGTTTTTACAAAGCTAAAAGAGCCCTTCTAACAACGAAGCTAGCAATGCACCAGAAAAACTGTGCTGGTTTTGACTGCAGTGGAGTTAGTTTTCTTCACAGTGGCAGGCATGAGGCTGTAGTTTGGGGTTGTGCTGAACACAGGGTTGATAATATAGAAATGCTTTTGTTATTGCCAAGCAGGGACTGCACAGAGCCAAGGCCACACTGGGGAGGAGGCTGGGGGTGTGTGGGAGGCTGGGAGGGGACAGCAGGACAGGTGACCCCAAACTGACCAAAAGAATATTCCAGACCTTGTGGCATCTGGCTCTGTGTATAAAGTGGGGGAAGGAGAAGGAAGGAGGGGATGTTTGGACTGATGGTGTTTGTCCTCTCAAGTCACCCTTAGTGTGATGGGCTGTGCTCTGCTGAAAATGGCTGAACATCTGCTCAGCAATGGGAAGCAGGGGATTCATTCCTTGGTTTGCTTTGCTTGGGTGTGTGGCTTTTGCTCTGTTTCTCAGCTCACAAGGTTTCTATCTCCTACCCTTCTGATTCTCTCCATGCTGGCAGGGGAGTGAGTGAGGGGACTTGGCTGAGGTTAAAACATGACAAAACCCATTCAGGAAACACATTGCTGTTAGCACCTACAAGGGCTCTATCCAACAGAGCAAATAAACATAACTCTGTTGCCTGAGAGTTACACTGATTTATTTGAGGTCACTAAGCATGCACTATGGGTGAGTTTCTTCTCTGCTGTCCCAGACAGTTAATGGCAGATAAAAGGTCTGAAACAGTTCAGAAACCTGACAAGGATAAAAGCTCCACATGAAATTGGATTTCCTCATCAATATAGCTGCATTGTCAGAGACCCCTTTGCCAGCTCTGGCTTTGAAGGCCAAACAGGTACTCATTTCAGAGATGTCAGAAAGAGATGTAACTCTCAGGTGCTGGCTCCTGAGGCAGTTGTAGAAGACTGCAATGAATATGGCACAGTATCTGTGTTTATTTATATCTGGTAACAGATCACACCACCAGGCAGAGTGCCCCAGTGATGAAAACAGCTTCTCAGCAGGACAAATCATCCCAGGTAACACACAGTCTTCTCAATCCTCTATTGCTTCAGAATTGTCCCTGTAATTTTCTTTTTGGACATGTTCAAGGACACACAGCACAGAATCTCCACTCATTCTATTTTACTCCTTTAAGTCATTCCATTCAGTTTGTACCAATTGAAATTTTCACTAGTTGTATTTTTGCTGGCATCCTTTCTAATGCAAAGTGGTTCATATATGGGACTGTTGAAGACAGTTTTATGGCTCATTTGTGTAATCCTTGGGGCAGTTAAAATAAGGAAATGTACTTAAAACACCGCTTTGGAAGCTCAAAGCAAGAAAGCAAATCCATCAGTGCTTTCATTCACCAGGCAAAAAGAGCTCCAGTAACTAAAGGAATCTTGCCATGCCAATAATGCAACTTTTCACTTTTTTAACATCATTTCCCACAATATCACACAAGCAAACAACCTGACCAAAGCTTCCTTTCCAAAAACAGCTGTGGTGCTCTTGCTCGGGTGTTTTTTTTTAAATAGCAGGTAGGTTTTTTTGCTGGTCCCTGGAATATCCCCTTTCCCAGGACCCAGCTGTGCCTCCACAAGCTGAGCACTGAGCATGCAGGACCTCCAGTTTCTACACAGAAAAGCTGGCAGTAGTTAATCCTGAGGCTCTTACCTCCTCCGAACTGGCTGCCCAGACTCATTCTCACTGCCACCAGATGGGTTCCTTCGGCGAGAGTAAGGAAACTTTGGTGATTTATTGCGGTCACTGGCAGAATTATACAGTCCACTAAGGTTAAAAAGGAAGAGCAAAGAGTCAGCTTTAAATTTTCCAGGGCAGTTAGGCCAGCTGAGATTCAGCTCACAAAAATGAACAGATCCATGCACGCACGCACACACATACAGGTCAGCATTCAACTACGTGCGCTTTTCTGGGTGTTAGTGGGTGTTCTATGTAAATGCAGATAGCACTGCTTTCTAGCAATAAATTCTTCACACTGAACCTTGAAATGTAGGAGAGAGACCTCTTAGTGTTGCCAGGTCAACAACTCTAAGATTACAAAGTATAGATTTTAGCTCATTAATACTCTTTTACCATAATAAATTTTCTGTGCTTTAGTATGGCGTTTCCAACCCAGAGCTAGATATTCTTCCTGTTTTCCATGGATGTAAGTATGAACACTTCCCATGTTTTGTCATGACATTTGTTTTCATCACAGAGCTGATGCTTGGGAACATGAAACAATTCTATCTCCATTTCTCTTCTGTTCATCCATACAAATCTCTGCCAATGGTATGGAGGTGTTCCAAGCTCCAGCTTTCTTTCTGCTTTCCTAATAGCCTCTGACCTTCAAATTTAATCCATTCTTCTTCATCTACCTCTGCACACAGCTGATTACAGCACTGCTCTGCAAAGGTGAAAAGTTCCCACAGCTCATCTCAATGAGAATTATTAAGAGCTGTGAAAGCCTCTGTGCAACATCCAGCCTTCTTATGTGCCTAAACCTGCATAGTGCTATAGAAATAATAGTTTTGCAAAAACTCAATCCTACCATTGTTTGCCTTCTGCAAGATCAAACTTCCTGCTGCCCTGAGAGCAATTGAAACACTGGAGACATAAAGTGACAAGATGACACCACTTTTCTAAATATAACCAAAGGAAGGAGTGTAGCAAAAGAATATTTGCTCACTGCTTTGTTCTCGCTCTAGAAACTGCTGCTGTTTACAGAAGGAGTACAAGGGGTAAATCATTAGGGTTCCCAAAATGACACATCAGGTATAGATGTGAATTGTCACAGAAAGGTAGGACCATTCTGGATTACACTTTACGTGCTGTCTGGTCCAGTAGCCTGTTTCCAACAGCAGCTGTTAATAGCCAGCTACAGAAAGCAAAACCCTGAAGGCAGCTCCCCAGTGTTCCCTGAATCCCACACCATTCCCAGACCAGGGGACCTACTGAGCCAGCTGCTGCACCTCTGTCTCCACAAGCCCTTCAGGATTTTTTTTCCATGGCTCATCCAGCTTCCCTCAGTAATTCACCTCCTTGCAAAGGAGGACCACAGGTCTCCCACTCCTGGTGAGTCACTACTGACTGCCTTTTAAACCACTTTCAATAGCTTCACCTGAAGATCCTTAGTTCTTTTACTGGAAAAATAGAGTCCTGGTAGTTTCCTCTTTTCTCAGTATAACTCTTGATTTTCTATACGTCATCCCCTGAAATTCCCTCTTTTACATTCTGAAGGAAGATTCCTTTCTGCGTCTGCCCTTGCTCCTTGTACAGATTTACTGCAGAGCCTTTCACATTTTTGATCACCTTTGCTGCTCATCTCAAAGCCTATGCCTTTTCCTGAGAAACAGGAACATCAGAAGTGTGTCCAAAATGTGATCCACCAATTTATATAATGGCATAATTCTGTCCTCTTGCTTTACTAATATTTGGTAATTGTTTTTCTGATTGCTACACAGCTGATGTTTTCTTTGTTATCCATCATCATTTCATAGCACTTCATATTAACCAGAAATCTAGGGGGGTTTTTTTGTCCTTATGTACCTCTCTTTACACTTTTTGACTCAACAGAATCTACCCATCTGTCACATTAAGAGTCTTTCTGCCACTCTTCACAGACAAATTTCTCACTATCCTAAACAATTTTGTATCATCACCAAACTTTATTACCCCCTTTTCAAATTCTTTGACAAATATTCTAAATATCAGAGGTCTATGAACAGATCTCTGTAAAAAGCCACTGCTGACATTCAATCACTGTCTACCTTGTCTTGCACATACTTTCTTAATTTTAACTGTTTATTTATCCATGAAAGAATCTATCTGCTTACATGCAATACATATATATTGAGAATCGAATAACTCATTAATATATTATATTAATAACCTTCAAACTTCTGCTGTGGTATGATATTTATTATTGCACAATACCTAAGACATCAAGTCTTGCCTTACCTTTGTGGGCCATTTTCCTCCCACGGAGCGCTTGTTTTACTTCTTTGTGTTTCTGGACTGTTTTCATTTTTCATCTTTTTAAAGCTAAATAAGAGTGCAGACAAATACACATGTATATATTAAAAAAAAAAAACTACTCAAAACATTGCACACATTGTACACATAGTACACAGATCACATTTTCTTTTATGCTGACCACTTAAAATTTAATTTTAAAGACATACAGTTATTAGAGAGATTCACCCTGGCATATAGTTACTTATTTGTCATGTGAAAGAGGGAAAAGAGCTCCTATGTTGAAAAGTCACTCCCATAAAGAGCAAACATAAGGAGAAGGAGAAAGAAGAAGGAAAAAAAAAAAAAAAGAAAAGAAAGAGAGAGAAAAATCATCTCTGCAACCTCATAATTGTGGCAGCACTGAGTCAGAAAAACAGGTAATCCTGTCTCCAAATAAACATGAGCAGATACTTAGGCAAGAAGTGTAACAGTAGGGCAAACATACAGCATCATCTCATAGTCTTCCATAATATGCAGTTAAAAGATTATTGAATCAGAGGCTTTACCTCCTTTTTATTTTACAAAGCTCTAAATGAAACTTTTTTTCCACAGGTTTACTTAAATACCTTTAGAACATTTTTTAATTTTTGTCATAATAGTGGCTAGTGGAGAATATTCCAGTATCTGGCTATGACAAACAATTATTTAATGTTATCTCAAAACTTCCGCCTGGTTCAAAACTTCAATCTCTTGTTCCTGACTGTTTCTGTGATTATAAAAAGAAATAAAGAAAAACAAACAGCTATGAACGATGGCTCTCTAAATCAAAAATTCCACCCCTTATTTTTTTTTACACATTTTTAACTATCTAATCCCTTTTCCAAGTGAAAGAACCACAGACTATTTAATCTCTCCCAATACGGGAGTCACCACATACCTCAGGTTATCCTTATCGTATTTCTCTACCATCTTTCCAGGTGTACAGTACATACTTTAAAAACAAAGTCAGGGGTGATGAAAACTATTCAAAGCATGACAGATCACAGGTTCATAGGTTCACAGAGTAGCATATCCTTCTCATACCCTCCCCAGTAAAGCCTTGGGTTTTATTTTTGCCGGAAAGACATTTTTGTGAAAGAGCTGACTTCACTGACTGCTGCAAGGCGAAGTAACAGAACAGTCACCTGGCTTGAGAGTTATGTCAGCATTTGTAACCAGTCTCCCACCATACCTATGGGGATGGGGGGGGAAAGCAGTATGCTCCAATTCTTCCTTTATTCCTATCATTCTCACATGTCATGTTTTACAGCTTCTGACCCATTAACACTCCCAGATAATTGCACTTCAAATGCTGGGAAGTGGCTCTTAGCTGAAGCACACCGCTGTCCAAAAGCTTGGCAGAGCTTTTCCTGCAGCACCATCTCTAGAGCTCTTTTCCTGCAGTGCACCTGAGACAGAACAAGGCAGCCACACTGATTTCCACTAAGGTCATCAAGTACTACTGACAGTGACCCCGTACAGTCATTAATACACCATATAGTTATAAAGTACAACTCAAGCAGGAAAAATAGAAGCTTTACAGTTGCTTACAGAGAGGAGGATATAAGCTGGGAGTTCTTTCCCCAGAGCAGGAGGTGACAGACTCAGCTTTATGAAGGAAACATGGCTACTTAACTCACTAATCCACTTTTAACCTCAGCCTTTGGTTACTACAGGTCACTGAGTTAATCATTTAATTTTCACAGAGTGAACAAAATGCAAAGCTACAGTAAGTCAGCTATAGTAAGGAAAAGAAATTAAATTACACCTTATCAGGTAAATAATTTTCTTAATACTGCACCCATTAATTATTGACTCATGGATGCATGCAATCTATTCCCAGGCTTAAAAATATATGCTTACTACAGACTGAGCAAGTAACCCACATAAATACATTTCTGTCCCACACTGCAGAAAGGAATTGATTAGCACAGCGTATACTACTACCTAGGCTGAACTTAAATGTGAATTCTGTTTTCAAATCTTAAAAGGAGAAAGAAATTGTATCTGGGAGGTGAATTTAATGCATTAAATTCCCAAGTCATTATTTATTTTGAGCAGACACACACTTTACAGACAGAAAGCTAGACCATGGCAGTGCTTCAAGTACCAGCAGTATCTCCAGGAATGCAGTTGCAAAAGGTACTCAGTTCATTCAAAGTATGTGAAAGAGTTAGGATGTGAATGTCAAGTGAGATTCATTGGAGGGTTTTTATGATTTGAGTTTATATCACTTACACAGAAGTGATTGACTATAGATCTCAACAGTGAATTAGGTGTTAAATATGAAAACTCAGCTTGTGAACACTACTGAAAGATGCTCCGCAAGCATCACTAACAATTAATGCAAGAATCACACAGGATGGAGCAAACTTTCAAACCGTAAGTGCTACACAAAATTTTGTGTGCTACCTCTCACATACATGATGCCTGGCAGACCCAAAAGGTGTTTTTCATGTGCAGATAGAGACACAGAGAAAAACAAATCAAATCCTAAATAGAAAACCAATTTCCAACACCTTTTTTTTTTTTTTCTGGAAGTGACTAACATTGTCTAAAACATGACTCAGTAAGAATCTGCCTGTGAACTGCTTTTAATCTGTCAAGGTTAATCTGTCAAGAAACTAAACTCAGTAACCTTGAAGCTGTTGTATTGAGAGCTACTTATTCTGGTTCTTTGTCTAAAACCTGTCCATCCATTTCTTTTTAACAGCTCATTGTTAAAAATTCTGGAGTAAAGGACTCCCATGTCTCCTAAAACAATGAGCTCTGTGCTGTGGAATTATGGTACCTTTTGTTTAATATCTTTCTTTCTCCTAACAAATCACAGAACAACACAATGGTGGGGCCATCAGGGTCCTCTGAATGTCATCTGATCCAGCTGCCTGCTCCAGCAGAGTGACCCAGACTCAGTAGCACAGAACTACTCCCAGACAGCTGTGGTATTATCTCCAAGGAAGGAGATGCCACCACAATTATGGACAACCTTTGCCAGTGCTCAGTCATCTGCACAGGGAAAAATTTTTCCTGACATTCAGAGGGAATCTCCTGTGTTTCAGTGTGTGCCAACCAGGTCCTGTCAATGGGCAACACTGTAAAGAGCCTGGATCCATCCTCTTTGTGCCTTCCTTTCATGTATTTTTTAACCTCTGTGTTCTTTTCTACCTAATAGTTTAGCTTCAGCATGACCAAGTGGCAATCATAAAGTTTTTAAAACACACAGTTAGCATTATTTTCTAAGGGCTGGAATAGTGGATTCAATTTCCCTCAAAATGAGAAAGCAATTTAGCTCAACTTTTCTTTTGGAAGTCAACTGTTCTAAGTGTTAGGTAATAGAGAATACTATCCACCAAGTATTTGCAGTACATCTTTTAGATCCTTTTTCAGAGTTCAGTCCAGACAACTAGTTTGTGAAGCCAACAGCCTCAATGCATAGGTAAGCCCAGTTAAGGGTTACTCAGTCAGGAAAAATACCCAACTGTCAGGATTGCCAAGCATGCAGAGACAGATATCTAGGCAATTAAGCAAAAGTTAGGTACAGTGTTTTTGACTCATTGTTTTGTAAGATCACTCTTCTTCTGATTCGGGCACATAAATTCCACCTAAAATTAGACAGGGGGATACAAACGCATTTCTGAATCTGATCCTTACCTCTTCCTTTCAGATATGCTTAATAAGCAGAGATGTGCACTTCAACACTGATAAATTAGACACGGCAGACCACACAAGTCCAGGGGACCCCTGGCAATTCACTACTCCTACAGATCAGGAACAAACATGATTTGTACCTGATTTTTACTATAATTTGAACAGTGTAATGGGCACTCACTGCAAGATTAACAAACCTGCTGGAAGGGAGTCCATGCCCAGCCCCTCCCTGCCACACACCCAATCTTGCCCTGTTCAGAGACAGAAGGCGCATGACCTGAGGGCTCTGACAGCCAGCCCACACTGCTAGGGGAGAGACTAATAGGACTTCACAGGACTACCCTGACCAATGCACTTTGGGTCATTACCTGTTTTTTTTCTATTTAAACCTGAGACTGTCTGCCTTCCCATTAACTTGTGCTGATTTATGGGTTTTCAAACTATGTGTCACCTGAAATCCCTGTTCCGCACTGATTGGAAGATCAGAGTTTTATAAAAATAAATACTTGGCAACACTCTCTGACCTTTGTCAGCAGATGATCAGATGGTCCTGAACTCAAGGGCAGAATAAACTAATAGTAATGATTACTAAATATGTTCCTCTATCCAATGCATTGTATAATCTCTTAAAAGCTGTAAGGAAATGTGGGTCTACATACCTTTTTACTGGAGAAGGTGCAATAATTTTGGTAGTTCCTTCATTTTCCCCATTTGTTGTAATCTGGCTCATGTTCTTAGAACCTGGAAAAAAATAAAAAACCCCAAATAGTTGAATCCTGTAGCATAAATATTTGCACACCTACTCAGCATAATCACCTACAGGTCAGCATGAGAGATAAAATGAGACACAAAATATCTGGCACATGCTCATCTTGTTAAAGGTGTGTAAGGATCACACCTTTGTGTCTTAGCCTTATTTCTAGTTGTACCAGGACACATTAACATGAAGCAGATTCATTACTCTTCCACATAAGACAGAGAAGTCTGAAGCAGTTGTTCTCCAAGAGATACTCTGCCACCGTCAACAGAAGGAAATTCCCTGCTCAGTCAGCAATGAGAATAAAGGTGTGAGGAGAAAACAGTTTGATTGCTGCTGGTGCCATGATTTCAGTTTCCATGCCATGCTGTTAATATCAATCTGTAATTTCCCTTCAGTTCACACATTGTGTTTCCACCTAATTGGCAATTTCAGACATTTCTTACAAAATTGTTACCATCTATAGAAACAGATGTCAAGTAGAACAACAAAACAATATCATTATTGATGTAGACCTCCTCTAGACGGGATTCTGAGCATGTTCCTTGAAGATAATTAAACAGATTGAAGATTATAATATGATGTCCTCTGGACAAAATCAACAGCATCACAATGTTGTTAATATAGTAGTAAAAACCCCAAGCCATTTTGACTGGCTAAAACAAAAATGTGATGTCTTAATTTAAGCTGTGAAAAGATTTTGCATGGTAAGTTTTCCCCTCAGCCTCAGAGAAAAGATTTCTTCACAATCTCCTTCAACTTCCTATACCACCCCTTTGGCATATAAAGTCTCTGGACCCTACCCCAATATAAATACTTGCGATTTTCTGATGCCTTTCTTTCTGCTCATCAATTGGTTCTCTTACAGGTTAGATTTGCCAGTCATCAGCAAATACATGACTTTTTCAAACAAGGAATTTATCTCAATACTTCACATATTCTTCTGTGAGGCAGTTTTCAATTAAGTCACAGAAAGTCTTTGTCACTTAATGGAGTAATAAAAACTTGCGCTCCAAAACATACCACAGCTGTGAAACAGCTGCCAGAAAAACAGTCAAGGGTCAGATGATATAGAAGTAATAGACACCTCCAGAAGTGATTGTTTGCTATGTTTGGTAATATCCTTACTATTCTGCAGGCACCCAGTTACCTCTGGGTGTCAGGCCATGGTGGGTTAATCAGGAGTTTTCTGTCCACACCTACAGAAATTGTAATGATTGTCTCCAAGTATGTTCCACCTGGTGTATCTTTTACTGACTACAGTACTGTTCCACCAGCTTATATCTCTGTATGATATAATTATCTAATATAAAAAAGCAGACTCCAAAAATACTGTCCAAACACTAACCCCATTGCAAAACTTAAGTATATTGGTGCTTCTTGTTTGCCAAGGCTACAGGCCTCTCAAAAATACCTTAAGCAGAAATCTTAAGTGGCCAGTTTCCCTGGTTGTTTACATTTGGCTGGAAAAGGTACTTTCAGGATTGAGTGCACTGCACTGAACTTTTCCAATGAAGTGAATGCACACACTTAATTCCCTTTTACAGCTATATTAACGCTGATTTGTCCATTCAATTCAAGCCAACTATTACATTTTTAAAAACTCAAGTGTCCAAAACCATATCAGCCTCGCAAGTTAGTTAGCTTGTCATGCCTGTTTCTTATCAGGTAAAGCCACTTCACTGACATTATCAGGAAGCAGTGTTTGTGTTTAAACCGAGTCATGAGAGCAGCAGATAGTGCAACCAAATGGAAAACATGCAGTAAGAGCTCATGCTCTGCACCCTGGGCTACTGTGAGCCAACAAAAATCAATGGACTTTCATATGTCTACACCAGTACAGCCTACTCTGTGATAAGGGCTGTTTTTCTTAATAGTTGCTAAGCCTGTAGCCTCAAAAGTTTGTTCATCTCACGCCCCATGACTGAAATGCGGAAGCAGTCACACCCATTCTTTTACCAAACATTGGATTTTAAGTAAACTTTAAAGTATAAAGCTCAAAGTGCATAAATTGGGAAACAGTTAAAATCACCTCAAGATCCATTCTCTCAAAAATCTAACCTTCAAATCCAATTTTACAATTCTCTGGGAAAATATTTTTAACTGGGCCAGACCAACACCAATACCTATCACAGCTACCAGTAGGGCAGTGAGAGGCATCTGTGGCAAAATGTGATTGCTTAGGAATATCACAATACAGACCGTACTGTAATTGTAATACTCACACCCAGTTCTCTGCCTGGCTTCTAAACACTTATTTTACACTTGTTTATACAACTACCCCACGTGCAAAGGCAGGGACAAACCAAGTCCTCAGCTACCAAACAACAAGAAACCCTAAGCAACATGTTTTCCACCTCTGAATAAAGTCAGAATCACAGCAACAGGTGTGGTCACATCAATGTTCAGCGCTCAGCCAAAAGAATAATGAACATTTTCACCGTATGTGGTGAACACTGAATATTATCAGTCAGGCCCTAAGACAGTATAACAGAACAACAAGAGATCTTTTTCCATGTTTGAGTTTATTATTTGCAAGTAGAGCAAAATGCAACTGTAATTCTCACTCACATGAAAGGGACAAAACAAGCAAACAAATGAAGTTACTCTTATCTCACTCACAAGACTTGACAGAACAAAACAAAAAAACTCTTTCTTTAAATGAACACCAACTTGAATACCAGCCTAAACATATAGCAAAAAAACCCCTATGTGCTACTGTAAGAACACAGTCTAGATCTAAGATAAAATCATAGCCATTAAAGTTCCCTGATACGATTTTTGCACTAGCCCTAGAACTGAAATATGAAATGTATCAAACAAGTGACAAAACAGAGGTTACTACATTTTAAACCACGGCATTCTCTATTCTAAGAAAATATTCTGCCATGATAAAGCCAAAAGGTCTGCACTGTTCATCCTATTGGGGGAAGAAATCTACAGCAGTGGCTTGTATACACAAGAAATAGTTTCTCTCTGTTGACAGTATCATCTCCTTCAATCTTGATATTAAACCACAAATACTTTTACTGAAAACAGAAATAATATTTTCTATCATTGTCTTGGCTGGCACCTGCTCCAGCTCTTGACCCAGAGTTCACCAAGTGCATGCAGTCCTAAGGACTTCAGGGCACTCTAGTGGACCAATGAGACAAAGAAACATTATTGCTCAACTCTGCTAGAGATAATAACTAACCTCTACCTTCAGGTGACAGAAAAAATATATAAAAAGCACATATTATGTTTATAACACCAGAACATGTACACAAAAAGAAGGAACAAGGAGAAGGGTTTTATTTAGATGTCAGAGGTTAGAGGTTTTAGCACTTCATAGACACTTATCTGATGGAGGCAATGCCGGTATTATATGCTGCAATCATTCATTGAGTTCTAACTGCCCCCAAAGCCACTGCTGTGGCTGTTTCCATCACTGGTGCCAATAGATTAAAAAAATACTAAAAAAATCAAAATGGCTAATTGCAGTGAGTGCAAAAATGAAGCCTTTAACACATTTCACTTTGCAAACTTAAGAAAAGATAAAAAGGGAAAGCAGATGAGGAAAGATGCTGAACTCTGAAAAGGTGAAAGGAAGTTATTTCATACAAGCCATTTGTGAGCTGTTGTTGGATTTGGGGAGATAAATGGAAACCTGACTTTTACCCAAAAAAATTAACTTATAAGACTTCATCTAGCTAGATCCTAATTAAAGGTGTATTTGACTGAAAATACCTTACGATATAATACATGTTAACTGAAATAACCCTGTTTAAAATGTAGGACAAGTAATATTTAGCCTTAATATACTATATTACAAACAGAAAATGAAGAACAAAGGACTAGCCATCAATGATGACCATCTGCATAATGTCACTATGCAAAAGGAGTATTCAATTTAAGAAGAAATGTAATTTAATTTTCTCAAATATTTTAGTCAGGGAAACTTTTACATAACCTGTGAAACTTATTAGAGCACCAGGTAAATTTGCAAGGTTAAAAATAGTCTACAAAATAAAACCTACATTGGGATAATACATTGAAGTAAATGATGGGTAAAATATGCCAAATAGTCTTGATTCATTGTGTGAAATGGATTTCATTACATCTAAGAACAACTTTAGGTAAAAAGAGGCAGATTTATTTAATGCAACAGACTATCATATGTTGCCTGACACAGCAAGGAGAAGCAGCATTAGCCTACATTCTTCTTCTGAATTCCTGTTTAAATGGAGGAAGAGTATTCAGTGTTTATCACTGTGAATAGCAAAGACAAAATTTTTAAAAAAAGGAGAAAATATGTTTATTTATAGGGCAAGATGGCATTTGAAAGACATAGCTCTCTTCCCTCAGCCCATATTTTGAGCTGGAAATTAAACAAATTAGTTTAACATTAATATAATCTAAGTTAATACATTTGTTCCAGTGATGTGACTGCACATTTGGAACACATGGGTAATCAATTAAGCTGAGTTTGAAAAGAAAACGGATGATAGAGATTACACAACTACATGTATGTAAAATGGTGAAAAAGACGTTTTATTTTAAAGTGGGAGAAAGTGTTTAAATGCATCAAAATAGCAAACACATATTGCCCAGAGAATTCTGATTCCAATTACATCAGCAGAAAAGTTTCAGTTTTACTTCATATTTCCAGCCAAAGAGACTGAAAACAAAATGAACAAACACAAACACATGCACAGCCTCGCAGCAACACAGACTGACCTCCTCTGCCTGGGCTAAGGCAAACATTATTTTAAACTAAGAGCTGAATTTTAGCTGACAAACAGCCACACAAATTTCCTGAAACAGAACCAGGGACTAATGAGGTAGGAAATGCTGTTTGGCTTGAACTGCTGCCCTAAGAACAGGACACTCCGGCTGAACAAAAATTTAAGTCATTAGGTTCAAGGGTCATTAGCTACTTGTCCTCTCAGACATCCACTTAAAACTGCACACAATGAAATATATCAGAATCAGACAGCAAAACAATTCTTCTCTTTTTACACAAAATAAAATAAAATAAAATTTTAAAAAATGTTGTAAACTGCCTCTATTTTCCAAGGCTATACTTTTAATTATGTGACATTTCATAGAGCCACCACAGCTAAAAGGCAGAGTTTTGTTTCTGAAAGCACACCAGTTTTGTTTCTAAATCAAAAGACCACATTCGGGATAACCACTGGAGATTTCCAGAGGTATGTATCTGCTCTCTTTTTAAAAATAGGTTCTCAAAATCTATAGTGGCACATTGAACAGCAATAAAAGAGAGATACTATTTACATTTTAAAGCCCAGACAAGTTTTTTCTCAAACAGCAAACACACACACACACACATGCTTTACTCCAGGCACAAGTTTGACTCAAGTGTGTCTGCCTTGTTGTCATAGATGAAGCTAAGCAATACCCCATGTAATCATATGCAGACCTGGAGCTTGACATCTCTATTACCAAATTTCAGGAAGCATTCATTATCTAGGGCATGACTTCTGTGATCCTTAATCCTATCTCCTCTAACACCTGTGAAAACTTCCAGCTTGCCATGACAGCTTCCACACGCAGAACAGATTTCCAGCTCACACATCAAAAGCATGTTAAAATTGCATGGCACTAACTTCTGTTCCACTTAATATCAAAATAAAGGGATACCGTCCTTGAAATGGGAAGAGGGTGCAAAAAGTGGCACCCTGGGTCAAACAGGCGAACAATGGGATACTAACCAAGATCACAGGCACAAAATTTGTTTGCAAGAGACAGGTCTCTAGAGGAAAAAAACATGTTTGCACTGCCTGTTTTCAAACTTCCCTTTCAACCTTTACATTAGACCTATACACATGGGGGCTTTTCCTCTTTAATCCACAGCAACTCTTTTCCTTTATCTGGAAAGCTGGAGGTTTCATATCCTGTTAACCTTAGATATAAGTACTGACTGAAAGCAAAACACAGAATCCATTCCGAGAGAACATCAAGGACACTGCAGCAGTTCTGAGTCACCTCGTGATGACAAAATGAACCAAAAAAAGAAGACATCTGCCCCCAGGTCAGCAGAGACGGACCTACCTGTCTGTTGTGCTCTTTTAGGGTAAGTCTTGCTGCGACTTCTTTCAATGCTCTGGTCAGGCCGTGGAAGCTGCACAGAGGGGTCTCTGGTCATTCGCAAAGATGTTTTTCCACTTCAAAACACAATAAAATCATGAGAAAACACTTGGGAAAGTTATCCAGCAGGATCCTTAGACTGAAAAAAACCATGCTGTTAACTTCTCATCCCACTTCTGGTTCTCCTGTTGAGTGGCACTACCCCGAATTTTGTTTTGAATCAGTCACTGGCAAAATCATCAATAGATTGTGCCAACCACTCCTATATTTGGCATTTCCAAGTGGAGATATGCCACTAAAACAAAATGCTTTTTGTTAGGAATAGCTTAAGGTAGCATGACCTTTTCTAACCTAGAATATTTTAACATACGACTTTCTTAAGTAATATTATTTCTTCCTGAACTTTTTCTGCAAGTTTCCTCCCAGGAAAACATGTTTATTACTGTTTACACATATTTTATATTGTTCAGTTCCAGTCAGTCAGGGGCTACTCCTCTGGCATGTGGAATGACAGCCTAAAAGACTGCAAAACAAACTGCAATAAAGAACTCTCACTAGCACAGCCCCAGATGACAACAAATTGAGTAAAAGTCTTGATTCTTGTTTACAGTAAGGTTTTCCTTCACTGCACCCTTGAAGTAAATTATTAAGTTTAAATAAATTCTTTTATACTCATTTTAATATTCCTCTCAGTGTGACTAAACAGAATATAGTGGTCATGACAAAAATCTAAAATTCATATTCCTCCCCAAAACTCCGTATTTGTTCCTGGAAACTTACTGCACAAGAGAAGTAATTGTCACTATTAATTCCTTAACACCTGAGGTTAGATCATTGTGAAGTAAAATGATTGTACTAGAAAGTACTAAGCAACTATACAGGAATTACTTATGTAGATTTTCTGAATTATGTGAATAGACTCCATGAAATACTGATAATATTTTCATCAGTAGCCCATTATAGATATTCAGCACTGCAAAATTTCAATGTTTTCAAAATTATAAAAGAATTGAAAGACAAAAAAATCTCAAATCCTAATCCTACATCACAGTATTGATGTAAAAATATTTTTTTGTTTATGTAGTTAGTTTATAACATGCTCCCAAGTTAGTCAGAAAACTCATCTGCTCAACTTTTAAGGTTGGCAACCATGACAGTACTGCAAATTCCAGAAGCAAGTGTAACAAACATCTGGGAATCGGACTTTTCATCCCCACTAAGACCTCCAAAGGATCTGATCTTAAGACAAAAAAAATTGCCCTCATGAAAACTGTCTGACACACAATGAGAAGTCTCTAAAGGATTTAACAAAAAAAAAAAAAAAAGGAAGGAAGAAGAAAACAAAAAACATACAAACAAACAAAACAGAACAAACACAATACCACAAGACAAATGAAAATATTACAGTCTCCCCACTTACCCAGTAAAACAATGGGATTATGGTTTCTGCTCTGAGCTAATGATGTGTACAGATACACAACACTGTCACTGCTTTTGATGACACAGTGGGGGACAAAAGACATCTTCTCCTCAGGACCAGTGCCCTGCTCCAATCTGCTGAAGTGATCCAGCAGAAAAACCTCATCTGCAGTACTCTGGCAGGAATCATTGAGCTCCTGCCCATTATCCCATATGGGGCAATGCAGGCCAGGATCCAGTACAAATACAAAAGGCAGGACAATCATTGCCCTGTTGTCCACAGCAAGGAGAATCTGGATCATGATAAACAGTGTGATAACTCAATCTGGATTAGAAAATAGGCAAAATGACAAAGATCTGCCTAACTAATGATTATCAACCTTACTTATTATGATCCACTTATTTCTTGCATGGTAGTGGAAACAGTGGTCCTTATCTGTCCTTAATTTCAAGTTACAGCATCTTTCAAAGCTTAGAGCCTTGAACATGCATCCAATATTGTCACCTGTTCAGAAAAGTCAGAAAAGATAGACACTCATTTTGGTATTCCCCAGCTGTCAGGAAAACCTCTTTAGGACATAAACGTAATTTCAGGACTTATAAGGCGATAATGATTTAGAGAATTGTCAAAGCTGCTCCCACTTTGAATACACTATAGCAAGCTTCCACCCATTCTGGGGATCTGAAGAAGAAACATTTGTCCCAAAATTTTCAAGCTCCCAAAGACAGTCTGTTAAAATGGCCCTGATTCATCTTCAGAACTATTCTGGGTGGTGGTTTTCTTTTACTGGAAGGAAAGAGGAGAAAAGGAGTGAAGAAGGAATGAACTGAAGTTTTAAACAATCAAAAAAAAAATCACCTGTACCGATGTTTATAACCTATGGATCCAAACTTGCTGACTTTTCTTGACAGAGAGTTTGATTCATTCTCTGGCACCCTGTGTAGTTTGAAAAATAAAATAACAGAGTAAGTTGCATAGATAGGTCTGAATTATAGTTTCCTTCCCAAGTCAAGAAAAAACAATACAAATTTGGGCTCAAAAAAATACTATTTTTTCTGCAAGTTCCTCTTCATCCCTACCTCTGGACAGATTCTTACGAGGCTGAGAGTCTCCCAAAGACACCTGTTTGTCCCCCCTATTTTGACTACACATTTCTTTATTTCAGAGTCAAGTGTAAATTGCTGGTGCCAGCAGCCTTTCACCTAATTTTGGGAGAAGGCAAATCCACCCTGACACAGTAGTGAGACTGCAGGAGGGATTCTCAATTCACTCATTTACAGCACTGCTAAAGGCAGCCCAGAGGATTCCATCCACCAGTTCCCAGTTAGGCACCTTAGCACATTTCTCTTGGTGTATTTTGCAACAGTAAACTCAAGTGCTTTGAGATGTGCAGTACTGAGAAGATTTTATACACCTCAGTAAGTAAGCAAAATGTTATGGAAATTCAATGAATTTCTATTAAAATATACATATATATTTCTGTGCATGGTAGAAAATAGTAATGTCTGAATTCCAAAGGTCTCCCTCAAGCCAATGCTGCTACAGAAAAGCTGATGATCAAATACATCCAAATCCATTTGGCAACTTAAATCCTGCCATCTTTCTGATAAAGTCTACTCTACACAACCTGAAGTACTGTTTAGAAAAGAATGGTAACATAAAAGAAACCACCAAACTACCAAATTTTAAAAACATTGTTTCACATCACTATAAGAAAAGGTGTTGGCTTTTAAAAGCATTCTATAACCAAGAGCACAAATGTGTTTCCAGGCAGCAAGCCTTTGTTGCACCACTCTGCAGGTACAACAAGGCTCTCACTCACTGTAGTGGCCCTAAGGGAAACACAACCTAACTTCTGCATCACTCACCTGAAAAATGTATGATGCTCTACACAACATTTCCAGAGATGTTTGCATGTGACCTTGTTACGTGCTTCAAAAAAGAAGGAAGTTTCATTGCACTAAGACAAAACAAAACAAATTAATGTTCTTATGGAGGATCCTGCCATTGGAGTGAATCTCATTTACTGAACACAAGAACCAGCCATTGCATGTCAGTCCATGCAAGAAAAGAAATCAGTACAAAGAAAAGCAGGTTCTATAATTCTGTAGAATTCTTCATTTAAAAGTGTTTTTCTTTTTGAAAAGCAGAGAAAAGAGATTATTGAAACATTCATGTTCCTTTGTTCATACACATCTTCTTCCCTAAAAAAACCACGAGTTTTCCTAATAAAACACAAGTTGGTTTTTTTCCAAAAATTATGTTTCTGATGTTTTCTGAAATGGCAGCTCAGATGTCAATCAAAAATATTCTGGTTAACAGTATAAAAAAAGGCAAGAATAAATGAAAGAAAGAAAGAAAGGAGCTCAGGATCTGTTATAAACAATTATGAAGCAATGACAGAGGAAACACACAAAACAGGCCAAGGTAAACCTGAGGGGAAAAAAATACTGAAGAAGGGAAGAGTTTTCTTTTTTAAAGAAAGCTAACTTCAGAATAATTCAAAATGCTAAGAAAAAGTTGAAAGTCTTAAAACCCAACCTAAAATCTCTTAAGGAACACAACAACAGCCAGAACAAAAGCATATACACAGCTTAAAAGCCAATCTCCGGAAATTGGCAGAGAAAAGAGAAGTGGGATGCATACAAACTATTAAATACTTCCAACAGTAAAGGAGAAGCAACAGACACATCACAGTGCTGGTTTTCAACAAGCTAAACACTCAGATGTGTTCCATCTATTTTTCACTTGGTGAACTCAAGCACCCGGTGTTTCAGCTGTGATTTGCACGAAGAATGAGCAATCCCAGTGATGTCAGTGTGAGAGTTCAGCATGGCATGACACCCTCTGTAACAAAACTGAGTCTCAAACCATTTTAGCAAGGTGTGAGTTACAAAGGAGGTGTGATTCACACCACCTTCAGCAGCTGATTTTGAACAATCTATCTCCCTGCATTACTTAAATTCCCTAGTGTCATGTGTACACAAGTAAAAAGCTCAGGCAAGTTTCTCCCTCTGCTCATTTACTGTTGTTTATTATTATCTGCAAGCACCTTGCAAACTGTGAATTAGTTCTCTATGTTCTCTAGAATTCAAAATTTCACCTATAACAAAAATCCAGTTATATCCCCATTAACAGCTGTCAAGCAGCCTCACAAAATCACAAATTACCTCCTCAAGTAGCTTTTCCTTCACCTTGAAACAAATAACAGCAAAACAACAGAATTTTGCACCTGTGGTTAGAATAATAGAGATCTAATTCCCTGACAAAAAAAAAAAATATTATACATGAGCTTATTTTCTCCCATGCCTTATTTTAGTTAAATGTCTGGCTGGAACAGTGCCATGGAACAGGCAAGAAATGAAAATAATTCTCTGGTCTTCCATCAAAAGCACATTTTACTCTCCATGGCAAGAGAAAATAATACAAGCAGTACAGTAAGACAATGACCACCAAGAATGTTTAAACCTAGCATTCATTTGATACTGCTGTGTATATAATAAAATTACTTTGTAGTACAGAAATAGAAATATATAGGTAAATATATAGGTCCAATAAATATATTCCCAAAGTTCCTCAGGTTTGATAGGGATCATCATCTCTCTGCAGGATTCACAAGTGGTTTAACTTATAGACAAAATAAAGGCTTCCTGAAAAATCTTGAAAATAGTCAAGAAGAAAAATAAATTTATCATGGACTCATCTAGAGTCACAACATTGCTCTTTCTCCTCTGATGGCTAGAAATAAGAGTCTACCCACTGAAAAATCATAATGCATTTTACGTTGTAAAACTTTTAAAGAAAACATATAAAGTGGTGCTTTGCATTTGCTTACTTTGCACATAGCAGAAAAGTAGCTTTGGATTTCATTATTTGATTTAAGTTACAATTTCTATATTAGACTGTCATCTCATATGATTTCATATAAATTCACACAACTGTACTCATCTTCAAAAGGATAATACCAAACTGCATTGTAGTATTGCAAACTCGATGCAATATGATGAATCAGTTTAGCTTCTATTAGGAAATAACTCAATGACTCACTTTTAATATGCAGGATCTTGCTCCTACTTTGTTCACTCCTACTTTTAGGCAAAGAATCCTCTGTTGCACTTAAATGTATTTAATTACATAATCTCAAAGGAAGGAGTTTCTGGTATGTGGGAAGGGAGAAGCAAAGAGAAGACAGGTATGATTTTTTTCTTTAAAGAGACTTTTTAAAATAAGGTGTTTCTGCCATATCTTACTGTTAGACCAATTTGAATGCCACTGGCATTCAACAACAGTGGGAAAAAGTTGGGGGAAAAGTTCTATTCCTTTGGGGGAAAAAAGTTCTATTCATCCATTTTGTCTTCTTTAAGTCACAGTTTTAGAACTTTCCCATACACAGAACAAACAGCAGGAAAAAACATTAAAATCACTAAGTGACAATAAGAGGGACCATATAGTTAAACTGCCATTTCCTAGAAAGATCTGACCAGCAAAGATTACTGATTCCATCACACGAAGGCATTATTTTCCAAGGTAGAAGAAAGTTCACCCTAGCTGGCAAGAAAAATGTTGATGATGCTGAAACACCTAAACTTAGTATTCAGTAATCAGTGGCACTCAGGGAGGGCAAAAAATAGAAGGGCTGGTGGGGGGGAGGTGAGATGAGGATAATAACTCTATAGAAACAATTTACCAAAACTTTCTGGAATTCAGATCTGGAAAATGAAACAATTGCCTAAAAGTCATAGGACAGACCAACAAGCCTTCTGATAACACCCCCAGGCTTATTTATTTATTTATTTGAATTTGAAGAAAAACCATATGTCTGAAAACTATGGCCTCACAACTGATGCTTGGTATAACTCAATAGCACAATTAAATTGTGCTATTGAGAGGAAAAATTGTGCTATATAGAGGAAAAAAAAGCCTAAAACACTCAACCCCATCAAAGGGGAAGCAATTCATAATTCTTTCACCATTTCTCAGCTTATCTGGGAATTATTCCGTAACTTACTGCAACCAAGTCCAGTATGACACTGTTTATAGCACAGCCAGGTTTAGGACTTCCTCCATATTCCTTTTAGGACTATTTAAGGCTTGTAAGAGTAGTGATTACCCTGACAATTTATAGATGCCTATATAAAAAGTAATCAGTACTGAGAACATCAATACCTTTCTGGATTAACATTTCTCCCCCAAGAGAATGAAATTATTTATATTAGTAAAGCAAAGATGGCCTTTCCTGTTAAGACCATGACCTTTTGTTCCAAATAAAAGACAACATTTTTAGCATTTTGAACATAGCAATTTCCTACAGATGGTTAGTGTTAGCTGGGTGTTTTGCTTATTATTCTCATATATCTGAACTAAAAGAAACAAAGACCTATTGTAATTTTACTAATTATTTATAGGAAATGACACTTCCAAAGTAATTCAGTGCTCTTTGGTGCAACACAAGCTTCTCCTGGCTACTCATCCTGCTGCTTTCAGAGTGCCCAGTGTACTAAAGGTGAGGCACTGTAAATCATGAACTCCTTCCAGAGCAGTCCTGGCTTCTGCATTCTCTGGCGATCTCTCCTTTGAGCCATCTTGGTGTCTGTCTGTTCTTTCAGGAAGCCCATTTTGCTGATCAAACAAGTAGAGAAACCACTTATTTTTGTATGGTTATTTTCAATCCCATCTGTGACTTGCAGGAGCAAGGGAGGGGCAGGAGGATGGGATCAGAGGCTGCAAAAGGACCCTTGCAGCAATAACCAAGCTGTAGGACTGCCTCCTCCTAACCCTGACGAGGCACACGCCCTTTGTCAAAAAATGTGAGGACGAACATTTAGATATCTAATGATTAGATATATTTCTTCTTTTAGGTGCTTTGAAAACTTGTTCTGCAGTCTCCAAAACATGCTACAGCTCATACTGCTAGTACCTCACCACCGTTTTTAACCAGAGGAGGAGAGAGAGACTAGCACAGTGGATGCAGATAGCTTGTCTACACTACAAACTTATACACAGATGGACAATGAAGCTCTTCCCTGGTTTATGCTGGCTCCCAGACCAGCCAGAAGACTGATCTGGCAGGGCCTCTAAGACCTCCACTAGAGAGCTGGGAGTTGGAACAGTGCTGCACCCTAATACCCACACCTCTCAGGTGGAAGATTAAAAGCGTGTTACAAAACCCTTCAAAGGAGACAGGTCAGAGGGGTCATTGCTCTGTCTAAGCACAGAACACCTCTGGAACTAGTACAAAAGTTCAGGAGTGCTTGGCAAACAGCTTCCTGCTTGCTTTGCCTCGCCAGCCTGATTACACAGCTTTCAGGCTCAGAGATGCTTTGTGCCCAGCTAGCTCAGCTCCTAGGCAGGGCAAGCTCAGCTCCACCTGGAAGAGAAGCCACGCACTTAAAATGACAGCTCTTCTCTCTGAGGGCCAGAATATCCCTTGTTCTTGGAGCTCATGGATTACTCCCAGGATAAGAGGCCATTGTCAACAGATTTACACCCATTGCAGGGAGAACTGAACCTGCCCACAGAGCAAAAATTATTCGAGAACCACCAATGCAGAGCAGGCTTTAGCTACCTTAATTTACAGGACATTTATGGGCTCCCAGCAATACAGGCTCAGAAAATGAAGAAGAAAATCCCAAAACCACATTAGGAGCCCTGCCAGCGCACACACCACTCCTCCCAGTCACAGTGAGCACAGGGAGGGCTAATGCTACACAAGGAGGGATCTTGCCCTGTTACAGGACACACTGCACATGTAACAGAATTATTAACACTGAAGCTACTGCTTCAGAACATAATTCTTTGCCAGAATAATTATTCTTAGGCACATACTTGGCTACCATCAGCTCTAAATTCCAATGGGAAGCATTCTGGTTTTATATATAGACATATGCCGACAAATCACAGCTTATGTAACAAACAATGTACTATTACTGGTTATACACGGTCAGTCTTTAGAAAAATGGTACCAAGTTGGCAATTCAAATTGAAAAAACTGTGCCAGTTGCATGTCAACATTGGAACAAACATCTTAGCTTTACAGTAATTACAGCAATTCAAAAACACTAAGGAAGAATTAGAGAAAAAGAAAGCTGACAGTGTCACTTTAGTGTCAGTGAATTCAATTTTATGCAATCTTACAGTCCTTCTATGATGGCTCAGAAGGCAATTAAGAAAAGACAGGAAAACCCCCAAGCAACCAAAACAAGCCCAAACTGTTTAATATGATATATTAATATCACTGAGCTTCTTCACCTCCACCCTTTTATTATCACTCTGAGTTAAGTGGGTGCAAATGCAAATGATGCAAAAGTCATTTGCAACTCCTAAACCATAAGAAAATTCCAGACTATTTTTGTCTGGAAACTACACATACAATAAATTTGACTTAAGAGTGAGAGTAACATATCTTCAAATCCTGTTCAATCTTCCCAAGAAGCTGCAGGAACTATAAATCAAATTAGAAGTTCCTGGCTGGAATTTGTAACTCAAGACAGAATACAGAATTTGATAGGAAAAGAAGGGGTACAGCTGAACCACCTTATTAACATAATTATTTTTCAGACTAATGACACTTATGAGAAGCAGATTAAAAAGATAAAACATATTTACAGTGTTTTCTGGACTATTTAAGATAAAAAAAAAATATTGTCTTTATACAAGTTTCAGCCACACAAAAAGGGGAGGATTATGTACTTTGGACTTGCATCAGTGGTTGGTATTGTTCCTAAAGAGTGATTACCAATTTCACCTCTTGAATTCATCTAAATATGGAAGACTGCAGAGGAACACACAAAAATGTGGAAATAATCTTTAACTGCACAGATTGAGAGCTTGTTTTGACTCAAAAGTACCCAAATTTCAAGATCTCTTGAAATAAAAATTTCAGAATTCAAAAAGGCCTTTCTCTTACAGGAAAAATTATGAAAGCAAGTGTTTTGCTCATTGAATTCTTTCTGTTTTGTGAAACAGGAAGAGTAAGAACAGAAGTTTTGCATAAATCCTGCTAAAGAGTGAAATCATTCATGTGCATGTTCAGACATAGAGCGACTGAAGTAAAAGGCTCAGTTACACCAAACAGCACTGGGGTGCAGGGAACAGCACAGAAGTACTTGGTACCTACAGGCAAAAAACCTCCTCATCTCTCATTCCTGCCTATTATCACATTTACATTCCCAGCCTACACAGTCTATCACAGCATGTTTTTCTCTGTTTCCTTCCATGTCCCTAGTTGACAGAGAAATCTAGGAAGAAGGCTGTGCTCCTCACATGGGGAATCACAGGAGGTATGCTGGGCACCCTTTATGCTACTCACTTCCACACAGAGCATCCATTGTGACCAAGCTCTGTTTTGCTGGTGGAGAGGGGAGGGCTTTGGCAGCCACCTATGTTTCTGGATTGTTTCCAGTAAGGTTGCTCCACTAGAAGACATGCTGCCAGGAACTGTGCACAGGCTTTAGATGAATTTCTTAGTTTTCTAAGAAATAAACTTCTTTAATCTTCAAAAATTCTTGGCCATTTTATGTCATGTTCAGGGAATGTGAACATGTGAAGCCCTTGCAGGGGAAGGGTTCCTCATTTCATGCTGATGATTAGAGGTGCCAGGGAGGACCTAACGCCTTTATAGCTCAGAATTCACAGCATGGATTCATGCAGGGGTACAATTAAACACTGAGTCAATTATTAACACCACTGAAAAAGAGCTTCAGTCTCACATGTCCATGGATGGCCAAATATGAAAGGCAATATTTTGTTTATAAGGGGGCAACAGCAATTACCTAAGGGAGAAAACATATAATACAAGCAAAATAGTGAAAGATAGAACCAAAGTACTGATGGTCATGCTTGTACACAACAGCAACAGGTGTGCAGGAAAAAAAATATGAGGCAGCTAAATATACGGGATTATTCTCATGGAAGAGATATGAAAAAGTACAAGAGGTTACACTACAAAACAGAAAAGTCAAAGCAGCTTACTTTATTGTAAGACACTAAGCAATAGCATGTTCTGCTCAGTAAGCATCAAGTTTATGAAACGTGAAGCAATGTAAACAAGAAAATGAGCAGCCATAGGTTTGGCTGACACAGACAACAGCGGGGTTTAGGTAGTCTGAAGGCGTGGACTTGTACACTTAGACTGTCATCTGTCAAGAAGATCAGATGTCCATTTCCACCCATCTAGTCAGAAATACACAGACTCTTCTGGCATGGTTGAAAAAATGTCACACCAATCCCAGCAAGCAACAACAAAGAAGTTACCACAAGCAACTCCATCCAGGGGGAGAGCCTTGCTGGTACTAAAGGCACCTACAGCTTCCTCTTCATGAGCAGTGAAAGGTGACAGTCAGTGTGAATAAGGGGAGCTGGTGTGTGTGGAAACATGAATAAAACCCACCCTGCAGAGAGTTTTTACAACTTATGGAAAAGAAATACACTCAGTTCACCCAGAAATTATCTGCTCTGTTACACAGTATTAGCTCCTTCACTTTATGCCATAAAGTTCAACTTAAAGGCACTGGAAAACTTCCATTATTTTTACTTCTCCTGAATCTCTTCTGGAGCTCTCTACAACTAACTGGAACAGACATTCCAGACTTAGTATACCACATCTGATACAAGGAAAATATTAATTCCCTGGGCTGTAAAATTACATTACAGGAGGCACGATGGAGTGAAAATGGCGTATTTACTCTCCTGTACTATACTCATGTGTCCCAAGGGAGGACAAAGTGATAGCATTTATTTAAAAAAGACCACAAGAGGAATAAAATAAATTAGTGAATCAGATTTTTTTTGAGTATTGGAACATACATGAATACACTGATGAGCTTTTCCTCCTCTGTGTAGAACAGCATAAATTCTTATGACAACTTTAATCCAGAGACTGAAATTACTGCCTGCTTATTCCAATATATAATTTTGTTCAAAGTACCCCCAGACTGGTAAAAAAAGGGAAAAAGAAGATTTGTCTAAGCCATTTTGGTCCTTCCTGAACTTGTTAGGATATGAAGTGCTGTAGAAATACTTCAGATTAGTATTAGTTGCAAAGGCAAATTTAGTGAAGGTACACACCCCTGTACTTACTGTTCTACCCAACAATTCCTAGAAATACCTGTCAAGGCTTGAAAGTACCAAGTTCTGTCAAAATGTTTGCCTTATCACAATGGTAAGAGTTCACCAGCCGTCAATATTCACAGCCTCAACTTTTCCAAAACCTTCCAGGTTTTCTACTCAGTTTGCTAAGCCTTTGCAATTCCATATGGTTAAAAGAAAACTGTGGAAATGTGGCATCAAAGAGAAGCTATAGCTTCATTCACTTCCAAGCAATTCACTCCGAGTCAAACTCAGACTTGTTTGTACATGAACTATCACTCACCCTTTACATGAAACATGGTGAAAATTTTTCCCAACCTTCCCCCAGCCTTTAAATAACTCTCCTCTTTCAACAAACACACCTTCAGAAATAAAATTCCCATAGATTGCCACACCAAATATAAACAAGTCACTTGGGAGTAGCAAAAGAGAGATTTGCCAAGACATCTGCAGAGACACCAGAAATCCTGTCCACAACAGGAGCAAGACAAATGCCCTCATGGAAAGACCATGGATGAGACTGACAACCATTACAAGGATGAACAAAAATGCTTAGATAAAAAGTAAAGGGGATTTTTGCCAGCAGGTTAATATAATTTAAAACTATTAACTACAGTCCTTATGAAACTATAAACTTTCATGTTCCAAAAAGACATACAAAGTATTTCCAAAAAATATTTCAGCTAACTAAATTTTTAACTAAACCAGACAGCAAAAATCACAAACTGACTGCAACTATGTTTTTTTTGCATGTCATTATCTTTACCTACATTCTCAACAGTCTCCTCCTTTCCCTATTCCACATGCCTTGTAGGAGATAATTTTTTTCCTTTTTTTTTTCTTTTTTACTTACTGCATCTTAAAACCTCCTCTCTTCCTATCAACCTGCTGTCCTTGCCCCACTGGAACCAACATTGCTTTCTCTCAAATGGTCTACGTGCAAAGTGATGTTAAACTCTGACAAATGGGTTTCAATCTATACAACGTGGCTCCATGTTTTGTGCCTGAGAGCTTTGTGAGGTTCCCTTCACCTACATTTGGTTTCCTACAGTAAATTTCAATAAAACCAATTAGACTTCAACAGACACACTAAATTTCCACCTTCATTAGACCTAAAATTATTTTTTTTATCTTTTCAGGCTTAAATGAAAACTTACATCTTTTCCCAGGACTCGAAGTTCAAACTGTGTTTCCTTGAAGTGAACTTTCGTAATTCTAGGCCTGTAATATTGAAAAAAAAAGACAGACCAAACTTCATGACCTTTTAATTTCATGTGTAGTAAGATATAAAGTTGTATACATTTGCATACAAAGACAAAAAAAATTCACAGAAGATTTATTTTTTAGGTATGCCCTAGATGTCAGCAGACAATTAGTGATATGTAAACATTTCAGCATGAGTATGGTAAAGGTGATCTATCACCTGGAGTATCAAAAAAATCTGCATCATCCAAAGAAATATTAATAATTCTATGTATAATTTCTTGATACTGCTATGATTAAAATTTTAAATAGATATGACAAATCGTAGGCATCCATACAACATTGTTATTGTTTTAGTGCAGACTGCACATTTGAATAGTACATACCAGAAATACTTTCCTACTTGTTTTTTATTCTTGTAGACAACAACTCCTATGGGTGTTAATCCTAAAAAGTATTCAGATTTATTTTCACCCTAGAAAATAAAAATCTATGTCATTCATACAGTTACAAGTAGAATCACAGTATCAGTGAGATCCAGTGAGAAATTCATCCTGGTGACTTGAATATACTGTTTCACTCTGTACAAATGGAAAAATAGTACTTGATCTAGTTATGAAAGCTTCTATATGAAAATTTGTAGATCTGGGGGGAAAGAGGCAAGAAAGAATGGCAGTGAGAGAAAAAGAAAGGGAATTTCACACCATGGTGAAAAACAAAAATACCTTTTTTTCTGTTTTCTTACTGAATTAATTTTTGCTATTTGGCAAATGGCCAAAACTCAGAAACTGAACTCCTTATTCAGGCATGAATGCAATAGATATCCCACCTTTCAGCTGAAAGTAAATAGCGATATTCTGACCTATAATACAACCACACAGCTGCCTTCTCCCTCCTAAAATAGTGTCAGCTGCTGCTGCCTCCAAGTGAAGTAGCTCCTTTGGGAGAGTCAAGCTTCTTTTTTCTTGTTCAGAAAGGAGCAATGGTATGCAGGGAACAGCCACATGCATCAACTCCTCTGAAGGAAACCATTCCTGAAGTCAGGACACAAATCTCAAGCTGCACTGGGTGAGAACAGGGTGAAAGCCCTGCTGCTGAGTGGCAGAAGGTCCCCACCTCCCCAGTTCGCAGTCAATAACCAAAACCAGAAGCAGGTTACAGCTGAAAGAGTGCAAACCCTAGTGCATGAGGTTAAAAGAAAGTCAGCTGGAAAAGCTCATTCACCTGCCTACTTGAGGCAATGAGGAAAAGCCCTGCAAGTCTAAACCAGCGGAGCATGAGCAGCAGAATTATCAACTGTGAGAGGCACTGACTTGAGACACTGAAAAAGTGTCCTGTGTGATTACAGGGCTGGCAAAGGTCAAGCACACCTGGCAAGCTCTGCCTGTGCTCCTCAGTGAATTAACTGCTAAAGGCAACTTTATTTTTAATGTGACCAAGGAGGAAAACAACTGCATCTCATCGTGTGTGCAGTTTCAGTCTCAAACGAGGGCTTCTGCTGCTGATGCAATTTAAGTAGGCACAATGATGTTCACAGGTTACCCAGGCAGGGATTTCATTGCACAATAAAAGCAAGTTATGAGGCAAAAAAAATTCCAGGCTGTACTAATTTAACATGATTTTGTTGGATCATGTTGGATCTTGTTCCAGTAACTCCCCATTTTTCCATTGGTGGGAGGGGAACAAAGCCTGGGATATGAATATAATTAAGCCATAGGTTGCATTAAAAGGTACTTTATATTGCATGCCACACATTTTTCAGAGGAAACACATATTTAATCTTCAGGTACTATCTTGATTTCTTTATTTTCTTTCAAATAATTTTACAAAGTACTGATATCTAACTCAGAGAACTATCTATACTACAACTCCCCATTTGAACTCCTGATTTTCTTTTATTCAAAAAAATGCCTGCCACAAGCAGAATAATTCAAACAAGATAGAATGATGTTTTCACCAGGAGCACATACCCTCCAGGTAATCACTTGGATCCAGTCCCAGCATTCATGCTGACAGACAAAAGAAATGGAGGGGTTTTCTGAGGCAATACAGACAACTTGCAATGCTGCATGATACAACATGGGAAAAAATGGAAACATACTCTGGATCTTTAGCAAAACCTTGACAACAAATATTTTAAAAAGCCAGATATGCTACTGCTACTCCACCCTAATTTTTGCCATGGTATTGAAAAGGTTTCAGGACACATTTGCTCTTTTTTAAACTAAAATAATGTGCAAATTCTTCTGTCAAAAACAAAGGTGATAACCCTCACTCATGTCTCCTGACACTTGCACAAATTACTTCTTTTCTGTCTGAATTGTTTTTATCCAGAATATAACTCATTGGGTTTTAGAGGCGTAACACAATCACACCATTTGATCTGAAAATCATTAGGCTTATATGAATAACTGAATCCTCTCAGTCTGTAAATACATGTTCCTTTGCATTTCTTGAGTAGTGTTGCCTTTTCAGTTATCCTGTGGCAACAAAACTACATAAGTACTGTTTCAAACATTAGTGCAGTAACCATTTTTCACAGTTAATACTTACATAAACAGGATGGAGATCCACCCCATACATTTCCAGAGATTTGGCCACACCTAAGTAGTTCACTTCTGCCTCAGCAGGAACTTGACCCCTGTAAACACAATTATTTTTAAGAATCTTGTAATTCCAATCAACATATCAAAATAGATCATATTAATAAATATAGTTTTCTATATGCAGGCCTTCTTAGCAGTTTTTTAGACTCTCATGGTCTTTTCAACTCTGAACTTCTTATTCCAGATAAGACTAGATCTCTAGAGGTCTCCTAGCACAGACATATATGCTATCATATATATAATGTTTACCTAATGCACTGCCTTTTGCCTTTTCATTGCTGCCACAAACACACTTCACACATTTCATTTTCAGGCTTCAAAAAGCAAATAACTTTTTTTCCCCAATAATTACATTATTATTAATAAAGCAGGAATAGAACGACTGGTTGGGGTACTATTCCCCATGGAAGTGTTGAAGCTCATGAAAGCAAGGTGGATAACTTCAGAGAAATTATTACATTCTCCATAAAATCTTGCCTACAGTAAGTCACACCAGCTGGTAGCACGTAGGTCTGCTGTGTTGAAAACAAGATTTTGAGTCTGTCTCATGAGATTAGCTATTTCAAAGATCCTGCCTGCCTTCCTAGCTACAGATATCAATCCATCAGTTTAAAAGTACCACTGGCAGGAAACAACTGGGAAAACTGGTAAGGGGAGTATCCTGGCTGGTAGGAACATATTTGACATTACTGAAAAACAACTTATTTTCAAAAAGACCAAAACAACTAAAAAAATTTAAAGCATTATCCTCAGAATTTAATTTGCTCTTTGCTTAGTATCTGTCACTGATACAAGAACAAGATTCTCTTTTGTAAGCCTGAAAGAGCTGAAGTCATGTTTTTGTTTTCACTTCTTTTTAATACTTATCTGAAAGCAACTGGACTGTTTTGGGAAAGTACAGTACATCTTGCAAAAATATCAGCTCAAAAAGATGCATGTCCTGCTTAATCCTGTTGGTTTTCTTGGGAAATACTTCACTGGATGCGCTACCTTTCAAATTCAAGGTGTGAAGTAGAGCATTCTACATTCAACATTTTGACCAAAGATCTGGAAAATCCTGCAATAGGCACATTCCTGCTTCTTGTGTCACCATTCTCTCTAGCCTAGAAGCTGCCATCCAGTTTTTCCCAACTTTGTGTTATGGCTGACAAAGAAAAAAGGACTTCCAAGGTCAAAGACATGAAGCAGCAGTGCTAGCATTAATGCAATACATATTTAAAGGTATTCAAAGGCATTAAAAATGACTTCTTTGTATCTGGGAGATGGACTGCTTCAGCTCATCTTATCCATGTAGCAGCACTGTCCCTTTTCCAGGTGCTCTTCTCTCCAAGGACGCCTGGAAAAGCAGCAGGCCTGAAGCTTGTAAGAGAAATCCCTTTCTTCAAATCCCAGTAGATGTGTCATTCATTATCTGTATTCAGAACATGCAGAACACTGGATATTCAGCACATCAGTAATATCACATCTTTTACACACTTTTGCTGTAAAAATTTACTCTGCAGCCTGATTTTTAAATTTGAAGTCTTGCAAGTATATGTCAGGAATGTAAGCAAAATGGTCACAGGGGCTGCATTGTCTCACTGAATTTGCAAATAGGCTAAATACCAGTCCTGAGCAAAATGGATTATTCCATTACTGAATTAGTGCTAGAATACAATTCCAATTTAAACCCTGCTGTTAGTCTTTCCTTACTGACCAGGCTTAGAAAAATGCTGATGCACTTACTCCTTTATTCTTACCTGCCTCTGAAAGGACCAAAATCTCAAATGTCAAATAAATTTTTTGAGTGTGTTTTTATAAATACTTTCAGAGTAATATATCATGTTTTAGAAACCGAATTTGCAAAAATATTGAAGGAAGCAAAGATGTGAGCTGGAGCTTCTGAAGGAAGTAGATGGAAACCAAAGGTAGAAGTCCTCCCAAAAGCAGATGGAGAAGCCAGAACACAAAGGGATGAAGAACTGTCAGGGACTGAAATAACTCCCATTACTAGAAAGAGTGTTTCATTTTTATCATGAGTGAAAACACAAACTCTCCTCAGCACCACACATCCCAAAACTAAAGCAGTCTTTGCCAGTGGGAATGACAGAGCTGGCAAAGTGACAGCCATACAGCTGACACGCATGCACTCGTTTGGATGGACAAAGGGCACCTGAGTGCCATTTGAGGCCCTAAGCAACAGTGAAAGCAGCTCTTAAAGCTAAATATCAGGGGCATTTTTGCTTTGCTTGTGCCCCACTGGCAGCGTGAAGTGTTGATTCAATACACAGCAGCAGCTGACTTGCCAAGCACCAGTCAGAGACAAATCTCCCACAGCCTGAAATGGGCACTGTCAGCAGCACAACACCAGCTCTCCTGTCTGCACTGAGGGATTCTGTCTCTCCTCCAGCACCAAGTGTTTCCTCCCTCACAAGTGAGCCCCAAAGGCACTGCTTGATCCTCCAGACGTGCCTGACAACATCAGGTCGCCTCACACTGCTCTCCGACCTTGGAGTTGTCATGTTGGTTTATAGATGAGACTACAGTCACAGTAGGCAGGCTGCAGTCAGAAACGCCCTCCACTTTCTTCCCTCACCTTTCTCAAAAAATCGCATCCTTACCGAATCTCCAAATGGCTATTGTGCTGTGTAAAAAAACCAAAACCTGAGAGGAAACATGTAACCAAAACCAGTTTTTCTTGACATAACCAGGAGAAGGAAGGTATATGCAGTGCTATAGCTGTTTTGAAAAACAAAACAAAACAAAAAACCCCAACAAAACAAAAACAAAAAACCAACCAGACAAACACAAAAAGCCCCCGTGTTTCCATGCTGGGATCTAGAAAGAATAAAACAGTTCTTCCAAACCATATCACACACCTGTCCCTAAAATGTCTCAGGTCAATGAGACAATTTCAGATGCCCACACCTATTATAGCTTCACACTCCTTAGCTGAAGAGACTGTGGTCACCTGTGCAGAAGTCAAAGCTGGCAGTGCTGATGGTAACAGCTGGACTGAAGTAGCAATGAGCACACCTTGGCTTTCCTCCCTGTTCTGATGCTGCTAAATCCCTGACACCCAACTGCAGCCAGGCAGCAGAACAGTACCAGGGCTCCAGATCAGTTAGTGTTTGACAGTGATCACTGCCCTTCATAACCACTGGCTTCTGAATCTAGTGACTACAGAAACTTGAGAGAGAGAAATGAAGGCTGCTTAGTTCACAGCAATTTATCTCAAGTCTCATTTCTCACAAACCACTTCTGTGATGTTGAACCAAACTAACGAGCTGTGACTCAGTTTCCTCTCTCTGGAATGGAAAAAAACAATACTTCTTTACTTTATAGAAATACATGTAGCAAGTTCTCTGAAAAGTATAAATTAGCATAAGGCTGTCATGCAACCACACAGAAATCATTAGTAACAACAGACTCTCTTCCCTGGAAGAGAAAGCTCAGGTCAACGTGGCAAATGGCACAGACTCCAATTACTGGAAAACTTTTCAGAGAACAGCTGTGACCCTGAGTTAATACCTGTTCTCATTAAACAAGACACATGTAACATTAACACGCAGTGCTACAGGCAAAAATTACTTAACCTTTATCCAGACTGTGTCTTCATTATCGGAAAAGAATCAAGAAATTTAGATCTACTACAAGATGTGTAACTGATTCTCTTCGCATTACTTTGACAAAGGCTATGATGAACACCCTCATGAAAGAGTTCTTACTGCTCTCATCTTCATAAATGGTTATATCACAATTGCACCTAACTTGGATTTGTTAGAACAAGCTTCCTTACACTTACCAGGAACGTGAACTTGGTGATAAGCAAGTAAATGTTTATTTTGGCTCTACGTGTGAATTTCTGGCATATGTTTTATTAAAACCGCTGGCTCTGAAACGCCCATACCTAAGTCTGACACACCTCACATTTCCAGCTATTGTCCTACTGACTTCCTAAAAGAACAACTTCAATTTGTAAAATCTCTTCTGCTTCTGAGAGGTATAACTGGACTCCCTGTGTCCTTTCCTCAAGTCTAGAAACCTCCACTTTGCCCCACAGGCTGTTCCTCCCCACCTGCCTAGCATCCCTGAGTCTGGTATTACCTGCCAGGTTCCCAAAAGAACTGAGTTCTTACATCAGAGTCTTGTGTATCCTCTCTATGGCATCCTCCAGCTCTTCCTTCTGGTCAGGAACGAAGCGGTACTCGGAGACATAACCTGCAGTGTGCTTGTATGGGTCATAGTCCCCCAGCTCAGCTGCAGAACACAAGGAGAAAACAAAGGTCACCTGTGCTTCTTCTCAACCAAAAAACGTGTTATACAGTCCAACCACCGGTGCCCAGCTACCCCTCTCCAACTGACCGCAAATTTTATCGGCAGTCAGATAAGAGAAAAAGGAATGAAGGAAGAGAATACAGAACTATTCACCTCAGCACACATAAGAGCAAGAAAAAATTGTCTTCACACATTTTAAAATCTATATAGAAGGTTAGAGCTAGAGAGAGCTAGAAGCCTTGACAAAAGGAAATCTACTGCTTCTACAGGCCAGACAAAATTTTAACCAAACCAGCAAAGTTTGAATTCAATGACATTGATTATTTGGCAGCATACGCAAAACAAGTGTAAAAGAAAAGTCTAGTTTTGTAATATTATGCTCTCATGGTATACTGCAATATTACTGGCAGGAAAGTTCCATATCACTGCTGGGACTTTAACATAAACTGGGAATATAAATGGAGGTAAATATCCTGTGAGTCCTGGAGGGAAGGTCTTCTAATGGTGTTTCTCATGAAGAATCACAAGCTTTCCTTTTTCAATAAAATATCAGTGTATTTCCTGGATATCAAATTCACTTTAAAATAAAAACAGCTTTCAAAAGACGTTTCTTAAAAAAAAGAATAGTCAATGTAATTTCGTTTGACGCAAACCTGAATTTGTTCACATTAGTCATGTCTGTTCATATGTCATAACATAATTTAAAAACAAATATCATCTTGGCCAGAATTCACATCTACTGATCTTAACTATAATTGTATCTAAGAAACTCTGCAGAAGTTAGTATTTCAATTTTTTATAACCCTGGGTAATATCTGTACACCAAGTTTCTCTGAGAAAGATTTCACAGGAGCTTTCTATCCAATGTCCACTGAGCCAAAACCATAGCCAAAAGGATGCTTCAAGAGCCAAGAAGGAAAAGACTCATCTAACTACTAATGTTTCTGTTCTAAATGTTGAAATGAAGTTGCTAGAAAAAGATGGTGAGCTACTCAGTATGGACGTTGAGAAGTCTCACTGGAAAACCTCCATTAAAATTATGTATTCAGTGTCTGAGACAGACATTTCTCAGGTGTCTTTACATATTTGGAACAACTGCAAACCCTAAACACAAGGATAAAGTTTTTTATAGAGCCCGTAGGAATGCATACCTCCTGGAGCCTGGGCTAACTTTAACTCACTGTATGTAACCTTGGCCATGCTTTAACTCTTCACTCTCCCATAGACTTTCTCATTGTTTTCCACTAAAAATATTTGAGATTAGAACTACAGGAACAGGACACTATACCAAAACAACAGCTCTCACCACCTTACAAAATAACTGAAGGCCATGAATTTACTCCTTTTACTCATTTCTCATAATAAAAATGAAGATGCATCATTGCATATTTTCCTGCTTCACGCTTGAAGTATTTTTCAGAGAAGGCTTGTCTGCTAGTAAACTGAAATGTGCATTGCAAACAATTGTTTAGAGAATGACATGTCATATTTCTTAGATGGCAAAATAAAGTAAAAAATAATTGTACACAAATAAATACTGCCTGAAATTTTGACTCTTCAGATACACATATAATCCACCACAAAATCCTGTATTAGGCCCATTCCTATTTCATACACAAGTTATTCTGCCCTGTCATTCAAAATGGATATAAAAAGAGGACTGTTTTTTATGTTATATTAAGTGTTGTTGAGTCACACTTTTAACACCAAAAATACAAATAATCTTTCCTTGATACATATCACTTTAGACAAATCTAAATTTAACAGAGAAGAAATTACAGATAGAGGTTCCAGCATGGTACTTCACACAATTTTTGGTTGCAATTCTGTTTGAATATAGATCTTGAGATGTAATGGAAAAAGAATAACAGCTGCAGTAGACAGACAGCTCCTTTGTAATTGATTGCTAATTCTATTAAGCATGCAGCACATAACCTCCACTCTTGAAAAGATCTCTACCGATGGATAAATGTAGATAAATACTAAATAAAATTAAAACTCTTCACGTCAGGTCAGATCATATTCTCACGTTAAGTAAACTTGCATTCATATGGATATAATGTAATTTTTGAGATAATGCTTTATTTTCCAGGTGTGAGGCTACCAATAGCCTTTGAAATCTGTAAAACTCCTGATGAAAGTTTTTTCATACTCTACATGTAATCCAAAGTCATAAAGACTTGAGTACTTGATAAAATATTCCCCAGCGAAGCAAATAATGTTTAGCAGAGTATTCAGACTGATTTTCTTCTTTACACTAATTTCCATATTACTCCTGTATTATCTATTCAGAATGGTCATTTATTTACAGCTCTTGAACTGAAATCAGTCATGCTACTTCTGTCTGGAAGCGAATGCATAAAGTGTTAATGCTGTCTTCAGTCATCACTTAAAATAATCACAATGCAGGATTGAAAGAAATCAGCTCTCAGAGGGCCAGGAGAACTTACACTGAATTATATATGCTCCCAACTGTGCTGCAGTGTTGATTGGACAAGGCAAACGGCCCTGTAGAACATCTTGCTTTACCTGCAAGAAAAACTGATACCTAAAACACAGAGACAAAACAAAGTTGTTATTTTAAGTCCACTTAATATTTCAATATTATCCCTTTAATTGTGCACATACCATGTACCATAACTATGTGACAGTAAATGCCTGTATTCCCCTCTAAATGACTTCCCCTATTGATCCTGAAGTAACAAAGATTCATCCAGTGGAAGGACCCAGGAAAGGGAGCACTCCCTATTTTCCAATCTTCTTATATTGTGCAGATGCAATTACTTATCTCCCTAAAATGTCATTTCCCTCTTTTGAACTTTCACAGAGCAGTCAGGACGGGAAGAGGGAGCAGTAAGGAAGAGGGATAGGAATCAGAAAAATTGAACAAGAAACCTATCAAAGGGCAAAAGTTTAACCTCATTATGGGATCAGTGTAAAGGATGACTGGGTAGTGGATGCTTGCTTACTCAAATATTTCCTCTCCACATACCGGACTATTGACTACAAGGCAGCAGGGAAGTTTGATGGCGCCCATGACAAAGATGGATGGGTGTGTCATCAGCAACTAAGTGAATCTGTCATAGCACAGGATACTCTCCTGCTTGGAATAGTGATAGCAGGGGTGAAAATGTAATTTTCAAAGTCATAACCTGCTTCTACACTTGATAAAGCTGAGACCACTTAGAATGAATCAATAAGCCTAAAGCACATGGAACAGACAAGATAACAAGCCATTATATAAAGGATCTGCAGTTTTGCAACATTTCATTATGATTTCTACGAAATCTTTTAAACGCTATTTGGATTTTATCTGGTTTTATTACAACAAATTTATGCAGTGTTTCACATCAGCCTAAGTTAATTTCTTGCGCTGATTTCCTACAAAATATAAAAATACAATGAAGGTAATTTTTTACAGAAAAAAAAAAAATCTTCCATACAAGCACATAGCTTTTCTATTATTCACTAGTTCAATTTTATCTACATAGAGCCATTCAGCTACTCTGCAAATAATTTATTCTGTGTTAGGACAAGTAACTTATGAAAGCACCTTGGAATGCTCTGTAAGTTCAAAGTGCACCTACACTGATTTCAGAGAACTTTACAAACTGCAGGTTACATGATAGCTGACTCGGAAAGCTTAAGGAAAACCAAATTTTCTAGACTTTATCAGATGAGCCTCTGAATAAAGATACCCATCTTTCTGATTAATGATTTCCCACAGAGTTTGTGCTGTGACAGATGTTATGGTAGGAATGTCCATCCTCTAAAAAATGGTTAATGTTCTCTACTTTAGAGGAATGGCATTAGCATAGGAATTTCCTGGGAATGTCTCTGGGCAACACAAAGCACAGACACTCAGTGTTTCCTCATTCTAAGCAATACCTCAGTCCTGCTTCTAGTTTATGCTTGCAATCCTACCTAGACAAATCTTCCCTGTACGAATTATGATAATGGCCAAGACGATTTTACATCCTCTGTGAAATACACAACAGCATCTTTCCGATATGAAATGCATTTCTGTTGCACACCCATACTTCTGTTAGCATTTCTTCACCTCTACAAAGCAGAGTTTGGAAGGACAGGATGCTAGAAATGTAGTATTCTTGCAGCAGGAACCTGTATTTCTGTAGTCTCAAAATAAAGTAGCATAGGAACCCTCAAAACACACCTGCATCCTGCACTGCTAATTGCTGAAGTGACTACTGTAAGGTGAACAATCTCAATTCCCACAGAAGCCACTGAGCTCCTTGCCTTTTGTCCATACCTATAGCTAAAGCAGTCTCATCTTGTGTGCCTGTGTTTGTCATGCATATATTAGAGTGCCAAATTGCAAGTTTTCTCTAGCAAACACTGCAGTGTTAGCTTTTGCCGACAACCAGACAGATTCTGCTGCAAAGCAATTACAAATTTGACAGGTTTTCATTATTTGCAAAGAGTAATCATGTAATGGCACAGATCATCAGAATCTAATAACAACAGAGCTAGCTCTCATGTCCATTAAAGTAATAAATACATGCTCCAAAGAAACACATTGATTAGCACAAAGCAGTTAACACATCACTGGAATTACAGCGTTAGGCAGAATATTATTATTATTATTATTATTATTATTATTATTATTATTATTATTATTATAATAAAGGAAAAGAGGATCTTTAATATCTCCTAAGTAGAAGGACCTTTAAGAGTCCCTTCCAACCCAAATTATTCTAAGGAGATGGTGGTATTATTATTATTATTATAACCCAAATTATTCTAAGGAGATGGTGGTATTATTACTATTATTATTATTGGTATTGGGATTACTACTGTTATTTTCCTGAACAAAAAAAAAAAGCCTTTCTTCCAAGTTTTAAGAGCCTATGGGAATAAGTACTCACAGATGTTGAAGGCAGTTGGCTATTCAATGTGTTTCATAGTAGACTGACAATACCATTATATTACTTTCCTAGGCTGGCCTTCTGTAACACCCAAGGTGCCAGTTCTGCATGACCAAACACTGTCAAGTCATGACCAAAGGCTTCCTAATGACACTGGAACCTTTCTTGACTGGATTTGCACACTAATCAGCAGTGTAGATCACTGGCTGGCCTTATCACAGGGCAAAGGAAGAACTTGTGAAAATTTAGCCCCCTGGCTCCACCCTGCCTCCTGGGAGGCAATCACAACAGGTTCTGTGGCCAAAGTTCCCTTTCCCAGGGACGCCTGTCTTTCCCTGTGAGGAGGATTTAAAGCTCTTCTGGGAAAGCACAAGAGAATGGCACCAAATTTCCATAGTACAGGGGCATCCCATTGCTGCCAGCTTATATTCTTTTACCTGCCAAGTCACAGCATTTTTTATTTTTACTAGACCAGCCTGAGTCTTGTTGCATTGGAGACTTCCATTCCTGTTGTGCCAGTTGGAAACAAAAGAGCAAGAAAACTCTGGAGCAAGAAAAATATTCCGCCTGTGCTGCAACCTTTGATTTAGGAAAATTAAAAACCTTGCATGCATTCTAATGAATCCTCATGTGCCACATTCTTAGGACATCAAAAGAAGTATTTTGGCATTTGTTAATGCAAGCCAGCACACTAATTTTGTCCACCTACCTACCCAAATTCTCAAATTTCCTTTTGAACCTAAAGTTAATTGTCCGAGACATTTAATAAATAAATCAGACAGATAACCCCAAAACTGTGAGAGAGTTCAGATAACCTTGTGTGTGTGTCTGTGTGCAAGCATGTGCATGTGTTATTGTGTGCATCCTCATACCATGCAGAGGACAAGCTTAGGTAAAAGAATCAGAGGCATGCAACTCTTCAATTTCCTTCACATATTTTTAGTAAGTCCAAAAGAAATCCCCTTGAAAAACAGTTCTGGAATTTAAGCTATGGCCAATGAAGAAGAAAATTCCCTGTATTTATATCTGATATCCAAGTAAACTCGAAACTTGGTTATAGCATAGTATAAATGCAGCTGTAACACTGTATTACTGAAAATATGAAAAAAAAAACCCCAAAACCCACTCTTAAAAATGTACATCAAGGCCCTTTAATTTTTGATGCACCAGAGAACATCTTTTCTTCCTGGGCTTCCTAACAGTTCTCACTATAAACCACTGTGAAGTTAATCACAATTTTCTTTATACACACCAATGTTCAAGCAAAAACATTAGGATGTTCAAGAAAAAAAACAGCCCAGGCACAACAATATGCACCTGGTTGAAATGTATTGCTAGCCTGAGATCAACAAACTATATTTTATTAAATACTGTACCTTGTTATTTCTTCCTTAAGTTTACATGGATCTTCTGCATAAAATTTAATGCCAAAATACAGAGTGTATGGTGGTCCAGCTGCACAAAAAAAAAAATTGGTGTAACAGTGAGTTGTCATGAATGGCTAATTGGTATTAGTTGTTACTAGCTGACTACAAAACAGCTATTAAGAAGCCTATCTTAACAATTTTATGAAATTTTAAATTTTCAGAAAAAATGTTACATTCACACAGCAAATAGTAATGGTATGCTAAGCATGATAGAGGCATCACAGCCACTATAAAATTATACTAATTAACAATAACACCACTTATTAGCCTAAAACAAAATTTAAGAACAGAGCAGTCTTTGGACGATAATGACACTTTTAAGTGATACCATGTGCAACCCATGTGTGAAATTTTGATACAGCAAAGAACTGCAATAACAAACTTGTTAGGAATTATAAATCTGTAGAATATTGTGCCAACTGTGTAGATGGAACATTGTTACTTCATCTTTGTCCTTTAAGTTCAAATTAAATACATACTGTTTATCAATTCTTTATGTTCAGCGAGGGTCTTTGCAGGATCCAGCCAGTACTGCAAGACAGATAATTATGGAAATTAGTTACTTAACTTTGAAAATTAGCACAGAACAATTGGTTATTCATATCACTTAACCTTTTCTTCTCCTTGCCTCATACTGAGCTGACAGGAGGAACTGCACTCTCATCCCTGGAAGAGAGAGTGCTTCTGCTTGTGCTAGTAAAAATAAGTATCAGCTGCCATGAGAAAATATGTTTTTCTGTGAGTGCCCCAGGTCTTGAGATCAGCACAGGTGAGATTAAACACTTCAGTGTGGGGAAGAAGAGACAAGAATCTCATCTGCCTTTTCATTTCTCCAGTGAGTACTTAGCTCTGTGGCCATGGCACAAACCCATACTTAAAATTACTACGCAGCTATTTATTATTTCAAAGGCTGCCAAAATTTTCCTGAAGAATGCAAGAGGTGGGGGGAGGAGCAGGAGATTTCTAACATTTTATTTGCAAGCCAAAGATGAATGGAATTTCATGGATAATGCAAAGGCATTTTTCAAGCCAAAGTCAGACAGTAAAGACAAGAACATTTAGAGATCCAAGAACCCCAACACCAGGGCCCTGTGAGCACACCTGGGCACACCTACACAGTAATGTGTGCTAGATACTTGTTAAATGCTTATACAGATGGATAAACAGTGTCAGCTGTAGTTACACCACAAGCTGATAGGCTGAAGTGCCAAAAGAAATGCAACAAAAAACCAATATCTCATTAACCCAGCGCGCTTGCACAGCAGCTGCTGACAACAAACCCCGGCGTGGTGAATGCCAAGGCAGCTCCGACTGCTGCCTCCGCCCTTCCCATCTCCGGGCAGCCCCCGATGCTCTCCCACCGATGCCCCTGCAAACAGCTCACCCCTGCTGCAGAGGACACAGCACCTCCTCACCCAGCTGCAAGGTGCCAGCACTGCGAATCTAAAAGTATTTAACAGTTACAGGAGAAGTGGGAAAAAATTATAATAATTTTGTTGATTATATTGTTGATAGTTGCATCCCAATGCAACTATCCAGTTGCTAAAAGGACTGGTTTACTAATTGTTCTTTACAAATGCATACAGTATTACTTTAAGATTTTTTTATTTACTAAGACTGATTAAAAAGGTACAATGTTATTACTGAAAATAGCTCCCTTTTAAATTTAGGTAGAAATTACATTTAAAAAATGTTTTAAAGTACAGCATAAAGAATAAATGGACTCTTTTGTCCTTTGTACTTTTACAAACCTGGCTCCCATACAAGCCAGGTATGTAAGTAGCATGCACCCAAACTCCATGCAGTGTTTCATAATTAGCCCTTTTAAGGCCTGCAAGAACTTTACCACAAATCTGGAATCTTAATTTTTTGTATCTGCATAGGGTTAAACTTGGGTCAAATTCCATTAACCTGCTTGAAACAAAATATTAACTAGTTAGAAATGTTTGCTGTAGCATCAATCAATGAAGTGTCTGGTGCAGAAAGATCTACCAAATTCAAACTAAATGTTGGACTGTCTTAATTAGATTCTCACAATGAAGGTGTTAGGTTTTGATCACATTTACAACAGGAAGAAACACAGTTTTGGAGAGAAAATGTGTCATTTTTCAATTATAATCTGAAATTATCGAGACTTCCTACAGCCTAAGACAACACTAAGAATTGGAATTGCTGTATCAGATTTTTCCTGCAAATATCCAGTGCAAAGAACGTCCATCTGCCAAGTTCAGGATGTCCTTATTATATAAGAAATGTAAAAATTTTCAGGCAATTCTTGCATATAAATGTGTATTTAATGCTACTATCTTTGTTTTTAGAACCTGAAGTTATATAGATTATATTTATTGTGATATCATCAGTGAACTGATCCTGCTGCACTCTAAAAGTTTATTCTTACTACCTGTAACTCCCCTGACCATCAGCTTTGTGTCTGTTTTTTAATCCAATAATATTATTCTAAATTTTCTTGTTTCTACTCAACATTATCAGTCTCCATTTTCCTTCCACTGGTTATCACATCTAATTTAACACACACAAACACTTCTCTTTCCTCCTAGATAATTTAGTACATCGTGTCTGGGAATGAGTGTAAAAATCCATTTTAAAAACTTCCATTCAACAAAACACAAGGTAGGTACAATTTGACTTTTTTTCTAAGATCTTGAAGACAAAATATGCTCTGCATTGTATGACATTAATTCCCTGCATTGCCATGGGTTACCTCCTACCTGCTGTGCTCTGAGGGTTGTGTGCTCAAACAGAGCTTCCTCTGAACAGGGGAGAAAACACATCTACATTGCAGGGTGGGGGCATAGTGCAATATGAATAAATACCATTATTTGCCCTTCTGTATTTGTATTTCTCCTCTTATGTGGTACATTTGATTATAATAGCTCAAATTAGCACTATCAGGTCCAAGAATAAGAATATTTACTGTTGTAAATATTCTTACTGCTGTACTATTTTGTGTATATAGCATGATTCTTTTGGCATTTCACAAAAGGGAACATCTTTGGGCTTCAGGAGGACCCTTTCCCTCATCAAATTCTGCTCAGCTTTTCTTGACATATCATGTATAAATACTGCAATCTCTGCCTTTTGTGTACCTCAATAAAACACTGGCCTCTTCCATTCCAGCTTGGCTATCCTACACACCCTGGCAAAGCCACAAAGGCAGTGGCGAAGGCACTGGGTGGAGAGCACCTGGGAGCTGCAGCACAGCAGGAAGCAGCTGTGAGAGTGGCACGACAGCCCTCCTAGCACCAGTTCACCCAGCCCCTGGAACACTGTTTTCCCCAAATACTACAGCAATGAGAGACTGCAGTGGGAAGAGTGTGGCCAGCAAGTCGAAGGAGGTGATCCTGCTCCCCTCCTTAGTGAGGCACACCTGGAAAACTTTGTCCAGTTCTGAGCTCCCTAGTGCAAGAGTGCCAAGGAGCTAAAGCATAGGGTCCAGTGAAGGGTCACAGAGATAGTGAGGGCTTTGGAGCATGTCTTTTATGAGGAGAGGTAGGATCTGGGCCTATTTAGTCTGGAGAAGAGATCTCACTAATGCAAGTAAGTATCTCCAAGGCAGCTGCCAGGAGGAAGTTACCAGACTCTTTTTAATAGCACTAAGTGACAGGACGAGGAGCAATGGGCATAAACTAAAACACAGAAATTTCCCCCTCAACACAAGGAAGAACTTCCTTCCATTGAGGGTGGCAGAGCACTGGAAGAGCTGCCCAGGGAGGATGTGGAGTCTTGCCTTCCAGAGACATCCTAAAACCCCCTGGGTGTGCTCCAGATGACTCTTCTTTGTCAGAGGGCTGGACTGGGTGATCTCCAGAGGTCCCTTCCAACCTAATGAGTCCGTGATTCTGGACAGAGCTTCCTCAGCCACCCTCAGCCTCTGCTGCACATAGTCTGGTGATTGTGTCTCACCTAGAAATAGCAGATGGGGCACAAAGTCCTGGGAGATGAGGCAGAAGACACAAATGTCCTCTCCAGGAAAACCAAGCTGAGAACCATATCCACATTGAGAACCACGAGGACAGTATCTAGTGTCAACTCGCATTAATTTGGGTGCCAGTACTCTCTGCAGTAATGCAAAAGGCTCAGGTGAGGGTTAGATGATGGAGCACAGTTAGGGATTCTGTGGCACTCAAAGAAAATTGGTCTTTTTTAAAGAACTTGCAGCATTAAGAAAAGTACTCAAGTACCACATGAGAAGAAGCACCATGTAGTTTGTCAACAGAGGCACTATTAGGAAACACTGCAGACAACACAGCATTAGCTGAGCCCATTTGTTCACGGGGGTGTAGTTTTATGTCATGGAATTTTTAATTCATTATTAAATGTTGTACTTTAACCAATTATTAGAAGAGATATTTTGTTGTTCCTTTGGAGACCTATCTTGTTCAGGAGCACTAAGTAGATATAGGTAATGCTATTCTGACATCAACTTGTAATCTTCCAGAGCTTGATTTTTCCATTTGAATACTGTCCTTTTACTGTGGAGAGTTTAGCAAAACCTGGAATGTCAGTAAAGCGAAATTTATGCAATATGACCAAATTACTACCCTAGAGACAGGGTCATCCAAGTCGTGCTTTACCGTACTTTTCATGCCCCTGCCAGTGCCACCCAGTTCTGTCAACCTGCTGCATCCAGCTGTTCTCACAGGCTAATTAGTTTGTTGGTGTTCAGGAAGAGACCATTTTAATGCTACACATCCATATATACTACGTAGCACAGTGAAACCTTGTTCACTCATTAAAACCCTACTAGTAGTACTAAAATAACTATGATACCACCCACATAAGAGGTAGCTCACCAACACAGCACTTAAAAGACCACCTGGAAGTGCTGAGGCATGCAGGAGTAATGGGGAAATAACCAAACAATCCCTTTCAAACCCTTAATAAGAAAAAATGTTTCTTTTGTGACCGATTTATGTTCTTTAAAATACATCATTTTGTCTACACTGCTTTGTTCGTCATTCAGTTAAATCTAGAGTGTGACAAAAAACCTGACAGTACAAATAATAAAACTTTCCCCACCACAAGCAATGTATTAATAGGTAGCCCAACCCCCAAACACTTTTCTCCCTCTGAGACTAACTCAGGACCATGGTTTTAAAGCTAATTAGCAAGGTAACCTTTTTCCTCTTCCCTTAGGAAATCTACTGTGGTCGATCCAAAAAACATCCAATCCAAAATGCAGATCTAGGTTTATTGCCAGCCATTACTGAACTAATTCCCACAACAGCCCAGAGAGTTTTAGCCGCGGTCGGCATGCAACTAAATATATGTTTACAGCTAAAGCACAAGGTGTTTTTTGTTGTGTGAAAACTTTCCATTCTTCTGCGCATTCTTAAGAGCTTACAGCAGTTCACTAAAAAAAGCAAGCTAGCAGCATAAAGCCACACATCATAAAACACATAAAACTACACACAGTAGCACTGTTTGGCTCATTTATGAACTTTTCAGATGAAAGAGCATCAGCTTTTTGCTATCCTTACATAGACAAACAACACGAACAGGCCTTTTCACAATGGTTTGTTACAGAACAGCCCAGGTGCAAAGGCAGTCCCTGTGGCAGCATCTCCAGGCTGGGCAGTGGCACTCTATAGCCTTGCACACAGCTGATGTCCCATCTCCACATGATAAGGCCAGTGTTTGTGTAAGAGCAGGCGAATGACAGAAGTGGGATAAACACCTTCCTAATCCATGGGAAAATCAAGAATCACAGTGGCTTCCTGACACTGAGCTGGCCAGAGGATAAAGCCTAAAGCTAACATTAAATTAACACCACTGGAGCACCACACAAGAGAAAAAGCAGAACAAAAGGATGTGCCCTAAAATGTGCTTTTGTGTGTCCCTTTCATAACAGAGGTGCAATCCATTTTTGTACTCATATTTTCATATACACCACTAAACATACCCTGTGTATGCTTCTGGAAATATTCCCAGGAACAGCCATTTTTATTTTATTTGCAACCACAGCTAACAGGAAAACACTTCAGAGAGCAAAAAATGCCTACCTGCTCTTCATTCACACCTCAAATTCCTCAGGAAATCAAAACCACCATTTTTAACAGTCTACTTTAATTCACAGCTGAGTCTGGCTTTCATCTTCATGGAATAAAATTATTAGAAGCTCATCAAGTAACTGAATTCACACATTTCTGGACTACGGCACAGAAGTTAAAACACAGGGAGTGAGGCAGTCTGTAGCTCTCAGTAGCAATCAGCAATCTGCTTAATACTGTTCTAAATTCAGTCTTTACATGATCAGCTTCTGGTTAACAGAAGAACTCAGCAAATGTTAGCCAATTCAATAAGTTATTACTATATATAGGTGAAACGGGATCTTGTGCATTGCTATCATCACTAAACACTGGCTTCAAAACTGTAATGGCTTGACTTAACTTAACCATAGGCCAGGCACTATTCCCTTCATAATTTTTAGGTAGCATGAAGACCATCCTGTGAATACAGCACTGGTTCCTCTTGCTGAGCATTCCCTGCTCCTCACCTCTGCCTGCAGCAGTCCTGCACAAGCCTTTAGTGGGGCAGACAGCAATGCTCCAAAACACTGCCTGCTTTGGCTGAAACATCTCAGCCTGGCTGAAACATCTCCTTGTCTGTTTAGGATGGAAACGTCTTGGTGGAAAAAGCCTGGGATGTGGGGTGAGTCCCTGCCAAGGAGGCTCTAGAGAGCATGGGCTCAAGGACACAGAGATGGTTCAGGCAGAGTGAAAATGGCATTGCCCAGCACAGCCTGAAACAGGTGTTTGGCCAGTGTTGCAGCAAGTGAAGCAGGCTGTGATGCACTCAGGGGTGGTCTTTCCCAGGCACTGCAGTGCCAAGTGAGGCGGAGTAGCACAGAGCACCAGGCACTGGCTTCAGGTCACAGTATTAAAGAGGAAAAAATATCAGTCCTAAGTTCATATAATAATTTTTTTATTTGTACTTTCTTAATTTAGTTTTCAACAACATTTAACATTTGATTCCATTCCTATCTAAGATGCTAATGGCTATTCCAAGACTTTATTGGAAATAAACAAAATAAATTATTACTGGAAACCTGAGCCAGGAAACAGTGAAAATTAGGGGAAGTATGACAATCTAATGCTGTACGGGCAACTGGCGCAACAGGGTGAATTTTATGCATGGCAAATCCAATCTGCTGTGTCTCTCACTCACCGTTTGATGACTTCGGTCACAGTAGCGCAGCCCAAAGTAATCTATTTCCACCAGGTTTAAGTGACGAAATACGTAGCCCAGGACAACAGACCCCTTCGTTGACTTCTGTGGGAAAGAATTTACACAGCCTATTCACAAAGATGCTCTGCTTTTGTCAGCTATGTGCAGTGGCATTCATGCATTCAATTAGCTTTGTCTAGAAAAAAAAAAAAGGCAGCTCCCAGTGCCTTTAACAAAAATTTCAGCAGTACAGATGAAAATATTTTGCATGTTTGAAAAATAATTCTGTAAGACACTATTTGGAAGCTGGCAAGGTAGTAGTTACACAATACCAAAAGAAAAACAAACAAACAAACAAAAACTCCATGGTTCTAGTGAACACAGTATTTTTCAAATCCCACTCACCCTTCCAGTACAGACCTGTCACTCAAGCTCTGACAATGGAGAACAGGAGGCAAAACTGCCCTTAAGACCTAAATTATACATCATTAACTTCTCTGTTACTAATCTTTGTAAAGAAGGTTAGTTTTATTTGTTTTCTTGTAAAATATTTTTGATAGTAGAAGGGAGAACAGTCCAACACCCTGAATTGAAATAATCCCACTGTTTTCTTGAATAGCACTTAATGAAGTGTCTACGACAGTATTTGCAAACAATGTCGGGGACAATATGCTCCACAAAAAGCTCACTTCCACCTGAATGCCTTGTATTTGTTGGTTCGCCTGGCAGCCAACAACAAACAGATGAGGAAGATAGAGAATAATTACACAGAGTGATCCCCTCTCAGAATCAATTAGAGCCTTTGATGATTACAGTCCTAAATTCCACAAGAAAATATGGACATAACTCATAATAACGTTTTGCTTAACTGTTTCATATTTTATAAACTACTAGACTGTAGTAAAATCACCACAGAGAAAAGAAATAGAAAGTGGAAGCTGTGAGATACTGTTTGTGCAGTTTCACTTTCTAACCTATGAACAGATAATTTCAAAATTAAAATGGCAAATAATACTGATTAAAAAATTCTTTAATTTAGTTCTGCTGTTGAAGTATTAATCACATCACAACAGTGAAGGTCTGGTTTTTTTCAGCAGGTGCCTTTGGTCAGGACTCATATCTAATCCCACGAGCAGGGACAATACAACAATTTCAGGTGGCCACTCACAACTAAGCAAGCCATGACAAGGTAAACATCTCTGGTAGGCTGGAAACAGCATATCCATGATATTCACCAGATTTACTATACATTTGTTTAAATTAGGAGATGTACTTGAAAGGTTCTCTTTGTCTGAATCCATCAGACTGGTTGTTTATATCAGGCAACTGCAATTACACGTTCTCTCAGCGTGTACAGTGAGCCTTAATGATCAGCCACAAAACAGAGGGGGGAAACATGATTAAGGTAAGCATAAATTCACTACATCTCAATTTATCAAGTTGGATAAAGCAGAGAAAAACAGTGATTTTATCATCAGTTTCATCAACAAGAAGCTGAAGTCAGGTTGTGAGAACAAGGCAAGACAGGCTGTAGAGTGACTATCAGGAGCACTGCGGAAAAAAAGTTGGAACAAAACAAAACACACCTTAAAAATACTAAAAATACAGGTTTGATTACTAGACAGTAGGGATTTAAGACTGAAGTAGTAATTGTCCTTGCTAATTTTGTTTTTAAATTAGTTGTCATTCAAAAGAAGCAGAAGTGATATCCCACTAAAAAGGACATTGCTATCTCATCATTCATGTATTGGACTTGATCCTGGTGGGCCCCTTCCAGTTGGCATGTTCTATGATTCTGTGTCATATAAGGTAAATTACCTCCAGCATTGTTAACTATTTCCATCATCATTTAAACAGTACGGCAATGTCTTGGGAACCTAGGGCTGGACAGGCATCTTTAGAAACAGACACAAGAAAAGTTCAAAATAAGCAAGCAACCCTGACACCAAATGACCCATGCAGATAAATGATGGCAACACCTCCAGCTGGGCACTAAACATTCAGAGAACATTTTAGACTAAAGAATCTCCAGCATCGGCCACTCAGAGTTGATGGTTTTTGACACAGTTAAACACAGTGAGGTCAGCAAACCCTTGCAGAAGGTACAAAAAGGGGTGCCTTGAACTTTTTTGAAAGTTCAACTTTCATGACTCTGCACCAGTTTAGAATGCCACTACCCTTCTTGTCTGGAAGTCTTCTGTTTCATTCAGTTGAGGACTGCTTAAGGAGTTTTTGGGACAGCTTCCCTCCTATGGATCCTAAAGCTGGTGTGTTATTCCCAAGAAAGATGCATATATCAGACCTGGTTTGGTTAAAACTAAAGCCCCCTTTTGTTCTTTTCAGAGATAAAAGGCTTTAAACTGCTTTTTACTAATACTGCTCAGTAGATAGAAAACATAAATGCCTGTTAATTTATTCTCTTTTGATGCAGCTCAGTTAACACTTCAATAATTGCAGGTTCTGCAGAAAGAGGTGGTCTGGCTGTGAGGAAAGGCTGAGCAAACCTAACCAGCTTACAGTGGCTGGGGGCTCTCCAGCTCTACAGCAGCAAGGTGCTCAGTGCTTTGGTTACTCACAGCAAAAACAGACTGCATGTTGTAGTCTCCACAGCCCTCTCTGCCAATCCCTTTCATATCTTTCAGCACAGCCTGCCGAACACAAAGAAGTGCTTTGCAAGGGAACAATCAGGATATGAGCCAGGACCTATCCCCACACCCTTAAACCTCGCTTTCCTTAACCTCCTACTTTCCCAGCACTGGGGAGCACAGTCCACGTAAAACACTGACCCTTGGTGAAATCACTGCAGACTCATTTTCAGTTGAAGTTCTCAGTTTTAGCCACATGATTTCAGGGTTTCATGCAAGTAATTTGCATCTCCAAGTTAAATCAAGAAAGAAGTTTTGCTGATGAATCCCTTAGCAACTACTTCTCAATCCTGACACACATTTGTACCACATTTGCTCAAAGTTTTGCAAACTAAGAGAAGCCATCTTATTTCCCCTGATAAAATTACAGCAAAATTCAGCAAAGCTGGAAACCAAAACTATCAAAGAGGTTAACAGGATTACATTCACATCATATGGCACTGCAAAAATTACATAATCTGCCTTGCATGAAGCTCAGACTTGCAAAAGGTTTGCATTCTTAGGGGTAAACCCAAGTACATTTGAAAATACCATCAGCAATGCTTTCAAGAGAGAACAAAGAATTGTTTCAATGAGTCATAACATCTTGCTTTACATGTTAGCACTGTGGCTTCATAAACCAGAAAGGCAGGTTTATACTGGCTAAAGAAAATGACAGCCAGAACATTCAGGAGAAGGCTGATTTAACTGTAGTTTTCTTAACCAAAATGAAATTATTCTTTTAAAAGCAGTACATAGAGTTCTGTGTTTTAACATATTCATATTACTCTATATTTAGACACCAGAAATTCTTATCTTTCACACTGCTCACTGCTTTTTAGCTCCAGTGAGGTTTTTCTTGTTGGGTAATTTTTAATTTTCTCTCTTGTGTTGTACAGAGCAGTGGAGGCCACATCAGAACTATTACTAGCATTAACTGAATTTAAAGATAAAATCTCTGACCCAGTAGGATGATAGTCTCTCTACTGAAGGAAAAGTGCTATAGGTAGTGAAGCCTCTTGTTATTGTCTCTTTTAGATCAAGCAGGCTTCATGGGGCTTTTCTCCTGAAAATAATTCAATCCACACACTCTACCTCTTACAACCCCCCCCCCCAAAAAAGCTAAGGAACATGCAGAATTCATGAGCCTTTGCTCAGAAAAAGGGCTTAGAACTTAGGTTGAACATAACCTTTGCCTTTTGAGATGCCCATCAGAGTCCCCCCTGATGCAGCATGCTTGGAGACCAAATTGCAGTATTTGCCCTAGGTAAAAGTTACTAAGGAGAGATTAAAATTATGCACAAAGACAGCACACAATCATGCATGAGAGTGAGCAGACACAGAGCAGAAACAGTTGTCTCCAAACAGCATTTCTCGCTTTTCTTTTTGGCCTATTCTTCCTCCTTACCTCAAGCTCAGAGAAGACTAGACACCCTGCAATTTTTCATCACCTTCCCCTGACAAGAGCAGCAAGGCATGAAGCTCTGAAATCAAAGTTTTTGGTTTTTAACAATGAAGACTAAGGACCCCTTTTCCCCAAGCCAGTGTGCCACCCAGGCCTCAATTTGCATACCATATGTTCAAGCACAGAAAAGTCTTTAAATTGAAAATGCTAAACATTTACAAATATTCACCCAGACAAAACAGCTTAGCCTTACTTTCCAGAATGCACGTCCAAACAGAGAAGAATTTACATTAGTGTTATTTTATACGTGCAAGGTATTCCCCAGCACAATCACATAACAGAACTAAATACTTTGAGGAACTGAGAATTTCACAAATACAAATGAAACATCACAGGCTGCCATAAGTATGCATCAGCAAAATGAACCATCCAAAATGTACTAACCCATCCCTTCCTCTCTGCTTGTATTTCACTAGCAGCAGACATGCCAACATGTTTTCAGAGGTTTTTGGATTTATGGGAACAGGAAGACCTCCCTATCACTGTTCCCAAGAACTTGGCACAGTGTGTGACCTGCCTGGATGTAAGAGATGACACTGGATTCTAGGTGCTGTATATTAAGATACCTGTAAATCTGTTTAGCTTTCACTAGTGGTCAATCCATTGCATTTCAGTCAGAAAATGCTATTCTAGAAAAAATGTCTGAAGATGCACCATATTTTTCTGGTTTTGCAATTATTGTATCTGTCACAAATTCACCTGCTTAGGGGCAACCTCTTTGAGAGAGGGATACATTCCTAGAAGCATGGGCTCCAGACAATTAAACATCTCCCCTTGTAACTACTGGCTGGAGTGCACTTTGAGCCACTGTCACAGATACATGTAAACTAATTTACTTGACTCCCAAACACAGAAGAAAATAAGTTAAAGAAATTATGCTTTAAAAATGTTTGGCTTTTTGGGAATGTTGGGAAATGATAGGAAATTGGGAAAAAATGTTGGAACAATACTTCAGCTCAGTAGGGTCTTTTTTGGGGAGAAGATTTAAGCAAGTTGTAGTTGTATATTACGTATAT